GTGCTTCCAATGGACATAAGAAGCTGCCTAATTGATCATCTCATAATGTTGAAAGTTCATTTCGAAAAGTACTCTTGCAGTGATTTTGATAAATTTAATTGGATTAAAAATCCATTCGAAAATGCTACTGGGCCATCATCTCTGAAGGTAAATGAGCAAGAACAACTCATCGATCTCACTAGTGATACTTCATTAAAGAGTAAATTTAAGGAATTGTCTTTGTTGGAGTTCTGGATACATATTGGCAAGGAATTGTCAACTTTGAGCCAAGAGGCATTGAAGATCCTGATTCCTTTCGCAACAACTTACTTATGCGAGACGGGCTTTTCTGCTTTGGCAGCTGTAAATTCAAAGTATCGTTCAAGGCTAAATATTGCTAAAGAAGTTAGAGTGGCCATTTCTGATATTACACCACGTTTTGATAAACGTTGTTCTCAAAAGCAGGCCCATCCATCACACTGAACTTTGACATTTAAATGTTTGATTTTCTTTGAAGAAAAAATTAAACATTTGTTAGTTAAATATCGTTTCATTTCAATAGATATTTTGGTTAATTGCAAGTGTTGAAACTAATTTCTATTGTAGGCCTAATATTGTGATACTTTAATTTTGACTAAAAAACTGCTAAATAGTATGTAGAGAAAAACAAAATAAACTGAATAAAACATAAAACTTACCATGACTTCTATTTTGATAAAAAAAAGAAGCTGGGGTCCTGAGAGTATTTTCTCTTGTCAAGGGGGGCTCAGAGGTAAAAAGTTTGAGAACCACTGCTGTAGAGTATTTATATAAGCTTTGTGTAGTGGGACAGGGTGCTGAGAAGAATATGCGAACAAAAGAAGATTGTAATGGCAAGAGGTAGTAGAAAATCGTGCAATAAGGAGCTTCATAACTTGTACTCTTCGCCATATATAATTAGAATGATCAAGTAAAGTAGGATGAAGTGGGCAGGGCGTGTTGCACACATGGGGGTGAAGGGGAATGCATGTAGAATTTTGGTGAGAAAGCCGGAAGAAAGGCGATCACCAGGAAGACCGAGACGTAGGTAGCAGGATAATATTAAAATGGATTTCAGAGGTAGAGGGATATGGACTGGATTTATCTGGCTCAGGATAGGAACCAGTGGAGGGCTCTTGTTTACACGGAAGGTCACGGGTTCAATTCCCGATGAAGTCATAGGATTTTTCAGTTGGCCTGATCCTTCCAGCCGCACTGTGGCCCTGGGCTCGACTCGGCCTATAATAGAAATGAGTACCAAGAATTTTCCTGGGTTTAAAGGGCGGCTGGTGCATAAGGCTGACCAATTTGACTGTCTAGAAACTGTTTGAGCCACGACGTCTCACAACCCTATGGGCCTCCACTCCCATTACAGGGATAGCTTTACCTTTTTACAACAAGAGTGGTCTTGAGCTATGTGAGCCGTCTAGGGGAGAGGAGTCAAATAGGCATCTGTAGCCTCCTGTATTCAGGGCAAAAAAATGAATAAAGGAAGGAAACATACCAAATATTAATAACAAAGCACTTTATTCTTCTGTCCCGAATACTTTGGGGTGACCAGTAAAAATAATTTTAAATGGGTTAAACGGAAGTTTGTACGCATATTTTCCGGTCTCCCCCCCCAAAAAGAGAACTGCCATTCCCTGCGCCCTTGAAAAAATGCTGGCGTCGCCCAAAACATGAGCCAACCTGGAAAGAATGTGAGCTCCATATTGTTACTCCCCGTATCTGTAGGGGGTCCGTTGGCCCCCCCCCCTTCTGCTGCGAGATAAAAAGCTGCGGGATGTGTAACATGAGTACTCCTGGAACATCCAAAATTCTAGTGGCTACTGGCTCACATACTTGCCTAGCATCCAGAAGGCCCCAGCTTCAAACTCAGTCGTCGCTACTGATTTCAAAATAAAAATACTGTCACGTGTTTCCTAGGTAAGGCGACAATAATTCACGTGGGTTTCCGGATTTGAGCGCACCATGTCGAATCCTATGGTCTCGTCCGCTGTCATGCAACGAATCCACTGTTGTCCTTTCATCTCCGGCGAAACGCGTTTGTTGCTTAAGGTATTCATAGACAACGGCCCACTATTGTTGCGTTTCCATAGAAGTATACCTTCCGGATTCCCGTCAATCGACACGCTCGACACAGTACGAATAGAGCCATCTCCCGAAATATCGTGTGTATCAAATCTGCCTTAGGTAAGAAACAGTGGCCTAATTAACTTTCGTATTGCCTTTGTAATTCTGTATTTCAGCATCCTTTTGCACAACTTTAATTAACGTCTATGTATTGAGTCCGTCAATACTGCAACAATCATTAAAATATTCATTATTTAACACTAACACAACATGTTTCGGGCACAGACGGCCATCCTCAGGTATCTCAATGAGTCCAAACTTTTACCCTTTTTTTATTGCTAGTGGGGTGGGACTAAGTCCCTTTTATTGCGGCCACTTCTGGCCTGCTGTACCAGCCCCAGATGATAGGTGAGGGTGATTGTGGAGAAATTGGTGGAATGAAGATTGGCAGGGGAAACCGAAGTACTCGGAGAAAACCTGCCCCATCGCCACTTTGTCCACCACAAATCCCACTTGACTAGATCCGGGATCGAACCAGGGCCGCCGCGGTGAGATACACTGGTTTGGTGCGCGTCAAAATTGCGTGTTACCGTCCACTTAAAATAATGTAAATAATTACTTAAAATTACTTTAATTTTTGTAATTTTAATGAATTTTATGTAACTATTTACGTTATTTTAAGTGGACTGCAACGCGCAATTTTGACGCGCACCAAAGCAGTGTAACAGTTTGGACGCATTGAGGCACCTGAGGATGGCCGTCTGTGGCCGAAACATGTGTTAGTGTTAAATGTTGAATATTTTAATGATTGTTGCGTTATTTACGGACTTAATACATAGACGTTAATTCGTATTGACCGTCAGAGTATAGTGTCTCGTTTCCATCACTACGTCGCGTTAGATGGATTCCAATGGCGTTTGGAATTCCGAGTCTATAAAAATGAGTAAAATTCTTTAACTGAAGTCCAGATTGAACTTCACCAAAAAAGGTAGCCAAAGAAAAAATCCGTGACATATAGATCGCACTCGTTAAATTTCAGCCTCTGTTTTTAAATAGTTTGGACATATTGAATTATTTCTGACTCCGTTCAGTGTGATATTGTGTTAATATGTAAACATTACATAACGAAATCATGCAAGCAACAAGCAGAGGTCATAAAAAATCATGAGAACGCAAATATTGGCGACATCGGAAGTATTGAAGCCCGACACAGAAAATATATAGGGCGTAACCTTGACGGCCGTCAAGCATACGACCATTGAAGTGACGATGAAGCCGTTGTAGCATGAGCTACAGGAGTTAACGACATGGTCTGCTGTGCCAAACCTAGACTGACAGAGGCCTTGTATCTATTGTACATACGCTGTACCTGAGTTGCTGTGCAACTGTAAATATTATGTATCTACAAGGAGCCGGACTCCTGACAAGTGACTGTCTTGAACGCCGACATGTAAAACTGTAAATATATGGTCGTATTTACACCATGCAAGAATCGTTGAGCAACAGAAATCTGTAAAGCAGTGTTTTCTTTGTGGTCTCAACCCGTCTGGAGGCGCGGTAGAATATCCCAACCCTGACCCTGCGAGTCGTAGGAGGCGACGAAAAAAGAAGTCTCAAATCTGATACAGTAAAATATCACGAGTCTCAAGGGACTCTGACACGAGAAAGACTGCGCTGGAAAGGGCCAGCAGCATATACAAATGACAGATCCGTCCTCTCGTCAGAGAGGGCGCCTCACAAAAGCAAGACCGTAGCTGTGAAACAGTAATGAATATCTGGTCACGAGCCCCAGGAGGGTGTTCGACACCAAGACTTACTGACCGACCGACTGACCGACCGTCAGTCGCATTGTGACTTTGATTTTGACTTTGACAGGAGTAATAGTAGAGGGAGTACAGCAGAGTATACAGCAGTAGTTGAGAGTAGCCTCGGAATTGGCAGCTGCAGAATTGGCAAGAAAGGAATTAGAAGATTTCCCGTTTGATTTGAAGTTACAGTGAAAATGTGTTTAAAAAAATCCTGATAGTGAAAACTTTGCAGAGAAATAGCCATTGTTGAGACCTGTAACCAAGCAACGACTAGCGAAAGCAGACTTAGAAGACGTATTGTGAGGTATTGTAAATTGTTTGTGATTAAGAGAGGTAAACGAGTGTGTTAATAAATCCAACCATCCAATTCAGAATCCGTTAGTATTGGTCACGGCGCTACATGCATGACAATATAGATGGCGTGTACTATCTATCTGGACCGCGGTAAATAACAGACCCCTCCTCTCAGAGAAGGCGCCCCACGTCGACAAAACCGCACCTACCTGGCTGTTAAAAATTTGTTCTTGGGCCTGAAATGGGGCTTTACACCAGTACTGACTAGTCAACTGATCATCGCCGTAACGTGATTTTGACTTCGACTTTGACTTGAAGAGTTAGTCGTGAGTTGGTAGACAACCGGCAAGGACGTAAACACAAAAGCAGAAGAATCTTCATTGTTGGGGATCTTTACTTAGCAACGCCCAGCGAGGACTTAATGTGGGCTGTAGTACAGTAGAGTGTGTAGACCCGTGAAACCATTATACGTGTAGTTAACTAGAGTCCAATACATCCAATTATCAATCCAAACCCCATGTCTATTCACTAACGCGTGACAATATTGAAATTGATTAAATTTAAAAATCGTTTACTTTCAGAACGTGTCGTTCAAAATGGGTTGGTCTCCTGTGCAGCAAGATTTCCACTGCTGCTTCTGCAAATGCAGCTTGAAGAATGCAACAGTTACACTGGGTTGTATTGAAATGGTAAGAAAATCGCGTGTTTGTACCATACATACATTTCAACATAAAGGGACAGTTTCCTTCGGCGGAATCAAGGCAGGCAAACGGGCCGCGCCATAGCTCAAGCGGTTAGTCGCTGGCTTCCCACCGCGGCGGCCCGGGTTCGATCCCGGGTCTGGTCAAGTGGGATTTGTGGTGGACAAAGTGGCGCTGGGACAGGTTTTCTCCGAGTACTTCGGTTTCCCCTGCCAATCTTCATTCCACCAATCCACAGTCACCCTCACCTATCATCTGGGGCTGATACAATAGGCTAGAAGTGGCCTCAGTCCCACCCTACTAGCAATAAAAGAAGGGCTGGCAAACGCACTCAGGTTTCCGGTGACTCTCGCGGTCCCACAACACGTAGATGCCCTCAGGTACAACCCTACCGAAGCTACTTTGGCGCCCATTTAATTAACTTTAAACAGAGCCTAAGGGAATGTGAAGAAAACAAATTAAAATACCTGAGTACTGCATGTCTGAACATTTTTTTTAGAATATGTCGTACCTTGAGAAGCTTAACCAGTTTGTCCAACGTGATTTCCGGTATGGAAAATTCAGTTTCCATCATATTTTTGTATATAGTAATGTTGTATAGCAGTATCCACCTACATTATTTTATCACTATATATATATATATATGTGTGTGTGTGTGTGTGTGTGTCTTCAGTGCAGCGTTCTGTTCTGTTCCTGGTTTAATGACTCCAATTTCATATATTCCTCCCACTACTACGCGACATGTTTCGGTCTCACAAGGACCATCGTCAGGTGTGTATGTTACACACAAACTGTTACACTGCTGGCAAACTGTTTATGCGGAACGTATTAAATTCTTTCTTCACTACTTGCACGAAACTAATTATTTTTATTCTGCTCGAAATTTAAAAATTTAAACAGTTAAAAATTAAAATGTTGTATGTTGTGGAGCCTCTCTTAATGTCACATTCTTGTTTGTTTGTTGATTGTGTGTGCCTGATACGTCTTGGTACTTGTGGTTGCGTGACTGCAGAGTCCACACTTAAGATCATTTATAAATGTTGAAAACTTAAATACATAAATTATTCTCGTGTTCTGATTACCCTGAACCACCTTGAGGCAAAGTTCAAAACGCCTCTTTTCATGCCAGTGTTATATGCTGATTGTTTTATTGCACTTTTTCCAGATTGCAAGCATCGTCCAGTTGGCTTGGTTTACTTTGTGTCTAGTGGAGTTTGATGATATTGACTATTATTGCTGGTTCGGCGAGAGACACCTCTCTTGGTTATTAGTGGGTCATCGCGATTTGGTCGGTAAGAACGCCTGCATCATTCGTTTCCTTTATTACTTTCTCTGAATCACTGTGGCAATCCATTGCTGCTGCTACTACCCCCACCACCACCACCACTACTGATACTGTTACTGCCACAACTACTGCCACAACTACTGCTATTACTACTGTTACTACCATTACTTATTTGTACTTTCGTGTACATTGTGCCCCAAATTCGTACTTATTCCTACTATCAGTAATACCAATGTGACGGACGTGCGAACTTGTGTGGTGGTAGCGACACTGGTCCCGCTTAGTGTAGCGTTCCGAGATTGTGTGCAGTAAGTGACGTTTGAAAAATAAGCGACTTTTGTATCTTTTGGGGGAGCGGGTAAATGTAAGACGAGGGCATTAGATTTTTCGCTTTACCTAATCCTTCCAGCCGCGCTATGGCCCTGGAGTCTGCTCAGCCTCTTAACAGAAATGACTACCAGGAATCTTCCTGGGGGATAAAAGGCGGCCGGCGCGTAAGGCTGACAACCTCACAGCCATCTGTGAGTCGATTGTCTAGAAAATGTGGGAACCTGAACATTTCACAAGCCTATGGCCTGCTACAGGGATGCCTTTACCTTTTACCTTGACATTAAAATGAAATGCATAATGATGGCTGCATGAAATCTGTATTTGTTGATAACTCATGAACAACTAGCATTAAGAATGTGAAATTTGGTTCGTAGGTAGATCGCACACATGACAACAAATTCTGAATTAAATGTCGTTTCTAAGTCAGACAATTAAAAAGGAGTTCTTATTGTTTGTTTTGTTTATTTGTTGGCTATCGCAGCTTATTATTCTACCTTGAAAATGGAAGCAGTGCTCTGCTCGGAAACATCAGTAAATTTCTGCCGGACTATACGATATCACATGCTAAAGGGAAGTGCTGTGCAAAGTTTCCCCATGAGAGCCTCAGATCTCACGTTATTATTGTTGTTTTATTATTATTATTATTATTATTATTATTATTATTATTATTATTATTTTACAGATGTCATAGACATCAACATCAACATCGCTCTGGTTTCCCAAGCTGCCGTTCTCGCGATCTGTTGCTTTCTGCTGCTCTTTGGAGTATATATTGTGAGTACAAAGGAATGCCTATGCCAAAAACAAATGAAACCTACCTGCCCGTGTGATAATACTCGTAGTTGCTAGCAGGAGTGTCATAATTTGAGTTTCATCCTAACTTGTCAAAGGGCCGAAAATAAACTTATAAATTTGAATAGGAACTTAAGTAACTGAATACTCCAGGCAGCAAAGTCCACCTACAGGCGCCAGCAGTCTCTCAGCTGACCCAAGAAATTCCCCGGCTTTCATGGAATCCAAAGTCTCGTTACAGATTTCACAGAGTTTATTCCTGGTTCCCATCCCTAGCCAGATGAGTCCAGTCCATATCCACATATTCCACCATCCTAAATATCACAGCGAGGTTTCATAACCACCATGGAACGTAAACAAATCCACATACTTCACATAGTGACCAAGAGTGAAAAATCTAGTATCGCTAATTTCATTCTTTTAAAGAACATTGGTTGTTGTGTAATATTTTTAACATTAATAATCACTGCATTTTCCCCACATAGTAAATTATATTTATATATTTCACATGATTCTTAGAATAAATACCGATTATTTCCCTAAAGATCATTATCTGAGTTGACCCTGTTATGGGGGCATGCAGTGTTTGTGTGTGTGTGTGTGTCATGCGCATGTCAAAATCTCTCTAAACAGAAGCAGGAGTCGACATTTTTCCACGATTTTGTTTTTGTTAATAAGTTTTGTCACTTGCATATACTTGATTTATTATTTTAGAATAAATGAAATTATTTCCGTGGAAGTAATTAAGAATTTTTAGATCCTAAGGGTTCTGACGATGTATAACACTCGCAGTTACTGGGTTTTTTAACTCTTTCCATCGTTCGGTATTCTAGAGACTAGAGAACACGACGTTTCGGAAACTGGATCTGTTTTCGCCCTCAGGTGAGCTGACCTCGATCTTTCTAAGGGACCCGACTGAGTAGGTGTCTGTCTTCCTTACCTGAGGAAGGAAACAGATCCATTTTCCGAAACGTCGTGTTTTCTAGTCTCTAGAATACCGGACGATGGGAAAGCTCCAAAAACCCAGTAATTCTGAGAACTTCTGCCTCCATATTTCCAGAAATATGACCGAAATAACTATTTCTTAAGGTGGTGAAATGTCCTTAAATGACCCTATATATATTTATATGATCATCTTATCACAGGATTAGTGAAGTAAGTAATAGGTTCAGAAGCTGTTAGCTGTTAAGATGGTATGACGGTTAGAAGGACATATAATCAATTATTGATGTCATAATTAGATTTTTATGTGCTTGCAGGAGAAACCTGTATTCATGATCCCTTACCTAATGATCTGTCAGCTAGGGATCTTCGTTCTAGTACTGGGAACCATCGCCATCGGCGTCAACAAACTCCTCGTAGATTTAGTCTCTGGCCTGATCATTATTTTGGGCGGTTTTGCACTTATGGGTAAGACGCACTGCCAACGGCATATATTTGTGTAAACAACGACCTTAGAATGTGGAGTGAGATAGTTATCGGTTGCAAAAATTATCCGTATGAAGGGTTTTACCCTCTGAGATATAACGCTCTGTTTCCTCCTAATTTGTGCTTTTTTCCTGCATGGCTTACGCTACGAACATGAATGTAGAGACTATATATTCCTCAGAAATTTTGGTTGATTTTAACCGGACTACACGGCGTTTTATCCCAGAAGACATAGCTCTTCGTAGTCACCGGTGTGAGGACCTCGGTACTAATAGCACACAGCCTGCTGAGTGGCAGTCTGAAAGTCCCCAGTGACCTCACTTCTGTTCCCATGTTCGCTAGAAAGTGATGTGCTTAGATTGATAATATTGCAACTTTCTATCACTGGCTTCAGCGATATTGCAAGAGGCATTATGGACGTTACGGAAACTCCGAACGAAGGCACTGACAGCAGTAGTTACTCACTCTTGTCTTGTTTCCTGAACATTTTAGGAGAAATTATCGGTAATCGACTTGTCATATCTTGACAACTAATTATGTCGGAATTATGTATTTAGGATCAGTGTTATTTACATAAGCCTTCCAGTACTGAATATGTGTTTAATTCAGTAAATGACTAATGCTTATAATTCTGATTACAAAATTGTACACCTAATCTGATTTGGCTTTATAATAATGCCACAAAAACTTCATAAGGTTGTGAGACGTCGAGGCTCCCACATTTTCTAGACTATCAGCTTACAGATGACGGTGAGGTTGCCCACCTTATGCGCCAACGGCCCTTTACCCCCCCCCTCGGAAGATTCCTGGTACTCATTTTTGTTATGGCGAGGGCACACCAAGGGAAATGGCAACCGCACTTTCCGAGAATTGTTATCAACCTGAATTGAACACATGTCCCTGAATGGAGCAGCGCAAATTGAGGAAACGGTAACGCAGTTTCCTGAATTTGTTCTGCTCCATTCAGTAACATGTTTTCAACTCAGGTTGATAACAATTCTCGGAAAGTGCGGTTGCGTTGCGGTTGCCAGTTTCCTTGGTGTGTCCTCGCACGCAGAAGCTGAGTCGACCGCAGGGCCATAGTGCTACTGGAAGGATTAGGTCCGATGAAAGATCAAATGAACTCATCGGGAATCAAACTCGCGACCTTCCCACTTGTAGCATAATGCCTGCAAGGAATGTGTATTAGCCGAATATATATCCATTTCTTACACATAACAGTTACTGAATCGAATTTTGACACCTATTGTATTTTATTGTATTGTATTGTATTGGAGAGGGTGGGTTTTCCCATGCACTTAGACCAACTGTTGGTCCATTGTGCGTCCCCCTATGATATTCTACCAGTCTCTATTCCCTACCGGTACTGGTGCGTGCCATCAGTCCCGACTCAGCCAGCGAGTTCGGCCTCTACTGGCTCAGCGGTATCTCGATGCTTCCCCCATCTACCAGAGGCGTTAGAGACTACTGTTGGGCGGGAAATGTCCTGAATTTGGCTCAGTGGTCCCCTTGGGACATGAGGTTCTTTTACGTGCCGTAAAGCTACGACACGGGACCCACGGCTTAAAGTCCCTCCCGGAGGACTTGTTCCCTGAAATTTTCCGCCCTTAAAAATTCCACGACCTCCGCAGGGTTTGAACCCGCGTACCTTGAGTCACGAGGTGGGAACGTTACACCTAGACTACGGAAGCCGCTATTTTGACACCTAACTGAAGTACCTTTTCTTTGAAGGTTTGAAGTGCTTGTATTTTCTCCTTTCAGTCATTGCTTTGTATCTGTGCCTCATCAAGTACAGTTATTATCGGAAGTTGTCAGAGAAACCCCGTCGATCAATGGCTCATATACGAGTACGTAGACGTCCTGAAAACACGGCAGTCTAACAAGAGGCACTCAACTAGAGACAAGGGTTCGCCCTTGGATTGTGTTCTTCACCCCAGTAAGGTCTGAAACTTTCTCCCATTTGCCGCAGCGCTACTTGATGCCATTCGGGATGGATGGGGGTATGAGACTGACAGCATGAGAAGAAATTATATTTACGCTGTAATATATTGTAACTTGTGGTTAACACCGTACGCTGTGTCGACATATTTATAAATGGTGCCCTGTATTCAAGAATTTGTAGTTTGTACCAGTGATAGTAAATGTTTAAGTGGAATGTATCGAAAGCGGACATGCCTCAAAATTATTTTAAAGATACCACAGATAAAACATACTGGAATATGCAGAATTTCCGAAGAGCTTTCTCATGAAAGGAATGGTTGAAGAAAATTTATGATAGGAAATGACGGTTTTTATTAATGATAATTCAAATTATACTTGCTTAATGTTTATTTATTGCTCCTTTAAGTTCTACATGCCGAATTTAATATGTTGTTAATACAGGAATAACAGCAAACAAACATCATCTTAATCACAGTGCAAGTGGTAGGAGGTGAAATCATAAACGTTGGACGGATTTTGGCTCTCTGTAGGAAACCTGCCCTTATTATAGTAAAGTAATTTAGTGCATATTTATTTCATGAAAATTTACATAAAATGGTATTGTAAACATTACTTTGACAAGTATTATATTCTGGGATGTGTCCCTGAGTAGTCCGATAGAAGTACACTGACGTTTCGTAGGAACGTGCAGCCTCCATTTTCAGGGTAGAACCAAGCAGTTAACAAAAAGTCAGTAGCAAGTGGGACTTTCTGTGGTTACTCAAACGTGAAGATAAAAGCAGTAAATTTGCCCTTATCTTCCGTGAACTTCTACCGGACTTCACGGTGTCTTCGACTTTGCTGCGAAAACCTTAAAACCAGCCCTGTTGATTTGAACCAGTCATCGCGCCATTTGTGCCCAATTAATTAAAATGGGGGAAATGAAAGTACTTTTGCTCATGGCCGCCGGCAAGGGGGGAAGGGAGGCATCTGGAAAAATAAAAAAAATTTAAAAAGAAGGAAATCTACCAAATATTAATCTATGTAAATAAAAACGTAAATGTTGGTTTCTTTCTTGAATGTCTTAGGACAAGCAGAAAAATTAGTTTTCGAACTACTTTAATCAAGTCTGTAAACAAATTTTCTGGTTGCGCCATGGTTTTCCTCGCTCTGAGTACCATAATAACTGGATATGCCAATGCATGTTGGAAGTATTGAGTTGACTCTGGCCATAGGCCCCTTGATATATTTTCTAAGTGCGTCACACATGTAAAGTAGAGGCGCTTATATATGTTACCGTAAACTCGTCGAAATATTTCAGTTTATGTTATTTAGTTTATCCTTAGGTCTCTTTGGCCGAGACCTTGACACACTGATCAACATGCTGTCAATAAAAGACACACATTATCAGCGTCATCACTAGTAATGGCCCAGGATTACTAATATGGCCTCAAGTTCATGTTCTAAATCACGTACATCTGCATGCTGTGTTGTTACATTCGGCTCACTGCACCAAATAAACCTGAACGGTTTTAAGCTTTGCAGACAATTGAAAATGTACCTTTACTTTTTTAACTTGTACTTAGAATAACAAGTTCCCCCATCTTAACAACTGTCAGTGCTGCCATCTTAGCAAAATAATTGTACAATCATGGGAGTCTGGATAGCTGAGTCTCTATAGCGACGGGCTACGGGTTTAATTCCCGACAGTGCAAGATTTTTCTCTTCACAGCATCCACACCAGGTCTGGGACCCACCCATCCTCCTATCTAATTGATACCGGGGGCTCTTTCCCCAGGGGACGTAAAGTGGGCCGGGCTTGGAGCTTACCATTCACCTCCGTCTAGTGCCGAGGTAAAGAATGGCGGAGCTATAACTCCACTCTCCCATAAGTCTTCATGGTGTAAAGGTGATTTAATTACCTTTGCCTTCACCATTATACCTATAAATTTTCTAATATCCTTGAGGGAAAATAACTTCATTGGCCCTGCCATTATTCTACCAAACCTGAAAACTTTGCTACTTATTCTAAATAATTCCAGGACATTTTTATTTCTATTTATTCTATTAAGGAATGACGGTCAGTGGTCGAGCTATATATCGAGCACCTCCCATATATCTTCATGGCATAGTGCTTAACTAATTAAGCACAGGGCAAGTTTTGACTTACTTTATGGGTACAGCCCTTCTTGAGAAACTAAGAGCCTTCAGCTAGCCAAGAGGCTCCCTGCCTTTTATGGAGCCCAAGTGTTCATTACCTTATACACTACATCACATCACCGAGAGAGCTGGCAAAGCCATAACGCTTTTCACTAATATTCCGAAGAAGTCCACTTTGAATCTTGGACTGGCCATCTGTTATCCTGACTGAGGTTCTTGGTTTTATCCAATCCTAGGCTGATACCAAGATAGTGCCTCTGTTATGCCGTGATCGTTATGTTCAAAATTTTTTCCAGTTCACCATTCATGTACTATATCATGTATCATTTGATAAGGCACCACCAAAATTTTTATGAGGGGCATCCAGTTTTCAAATTGGGGTGGGGGCATCACAAAATTTGGGAACAAACTCGCATTTAAACAGTTAAAGACAATTTTAGAAAAGTAGCTTTGGATTGATAATTAATATTCTGAGAACTTGCTTCTTCCCTTAAAAAATTTGTGGGGGGGGGGGGTTTGCAGATCCTAGCTTATTGCCCTTGCTGGTGCCCATCCTATCATCACAATATCTTATTTTCAACTTATTCTTAACAGCAGTGATACCATTATGTAATGTTTGGGAAGTACATGATTTCAATGTAGAGCTGTGTAGTTCAGGAATTCGCAACACTTATTTGTGAAGATATCTTGATGAGAAGGAGAACCTGTCTTTAAAATGTAGCATCTAGAAGACAGGAAGATGAGCTGGAATTAGTGCAGAATATAGACCTGCACTGTAAGTATTCTTCTTATTACTATATTTGTCAAATAAGAAGTTGAACTTGTTTTTACCCAAAGCAGACATTTTTTTAAATTAGGGTGCAGCTTAAAACACTCCATTGGATTCTCTAGATCCAGTAGAGTTATCTAGTTTGTTGTTACAGTAAATGTGTTGTACTAATCAGTGTTGGTGAGGCAAGTGGTCACCATAATTTAGACCCAAATCATATAATATGAGAAGGTACAAATATGATTGGATAATTGTGATTGAGAAGTAGGAGAGTGGAACTCATGAAAATGATGTACTTGTTGCGAAGTTGTTGACTGAAATAAGGAATAAGAGAGTTTTAGTAGCAACAAGTACAAATAGAGTGTTTTAAACCATAGATTGAGATTTTTAATTGGTATATTGTTTTATTATATAATTCTGTAATTTGTTTTATGTTCTTGTAGATTTATTTCAATTACAGATATATGTACATATCTGACATTTATTTTATGGTGGCTTGTCGCATATATATATATTATGTATATTATGAAATGTATGTTGTTTTGCTATAGCTTATGATACATGTAGTATATTCTGTGACAAGTTCTATATCTTGTGGTCTTGTATGAATGATCGATCTTTGAATGCAATAAATAAATGAAAATGAAAATATTTTTCATTTCAAGACCATGTAATTTTGGGAATGCTTCTTATATTCAGGCAAGTAGAGTAAGTTCACATTTTACTTGAAGCCACAATACAGCACTGAAATAAATTACTCCCTGTTGCATAAATTGAAACAAAGTGCACTAAGAAGAGGTATCCTCTATTCTGCAAGCTAAAATATGTTCTACAGCCTATGTATAGCTCAGCGGTTTTTTGCAGAAAATAACAGTGTGGTAGAGGTAATTAAGTATTCTCTCTGCAAGCTAAACAGTGCACCATAGACAAATCAGCAGTCAAGAGGCAAGGTAGATGGTGTGTAACTTTTTACAACAACTCTGATTGTGGGCAGATTTTTATTCAAATTTGGGAAACAAAGCAGCTTAACAATTTGGCTGATTTTCTGTGCACATCTTTAGAATGACTTGTTTCTTGCCCTTACATGTGATTGAAATAACAGGTGAAATCTAACATTTGAATGTAGTCCATTGGTTCTCAAAATTTTTAGTGTGATGCCTCCCTTTTAGTTTTCATCAAACCCTAATGCCCCTCCCCCAGTGTTTATTGAAGTAAATGTAACATGTTGCACTCACATTTATATTATTGTTTATGATCGACTGACTGGTAATTACTGCTATATCTAAACTGTAAGTAAACTGTTCAAATTTTTAAAATGAAAGTGTTGTACAGTGCTCCTTGTTTGGCCATGAATAATGCCTACAAATGCTGCAAACTACACGTAATTTCTGTAATTCTTTTAATATCTGGATTAATGTTTATGACCAGTACTTCAGGTAGGGGTGATTAATTGCATCTAAAAGGAATTATTTCAGCTACTCGTAAGTCTGAGATAAAATATTGCTTCCTTTTTCCTCTGAGCCTCCCCTCACCTGTAATGTCTCTCATCCCCGACATTAGGAACAACGATGTAGTTTGTGACAAGTCCACTTTTTACTTAGATTTGATCTCACAAACATATTTTATTAAGGGATTCAGTAAAAAAAAAATATAATCAATATCAGTTTACCTGTATGAGAATGTTTATAATCAGAACAGACCCACCTGCCATTGAAGTTTAAGTTTCAGCCAGAAGACCTGCCATCTTGACAACGTTTCTTGTGACTTTCTTCAGTTTTCCAGACAAATTGTGGGATATACCTTAATTAGGCTAACTACCTCCTTTCTGCTCTTACTGTTTCACCATTATTCATCCAATGCTGTATACTCTGAGCTATTGACAGTGTCTCTAAATAACCGATAATCAAAGCAGATGAGGGGACAATAAATCCATTAGGGAGATTTATATTTTCAGCCTTAGTACATATATATCTAACTGATACAAATACAAACTGAATTCAAGGCTGTTGTTTTGTGGATTGTGATGCTATGTGGAGTGTGTAGACATTTACTGACATTTTGGAGGAAGGTAGTGTTACCATATTTAAGGCAGAAAATAGAAAAGTAATATTTATGGTCACTGAATTGAGAACCGCAAATCTAAATAATAAAAATAATTCAATTTGTGTTTATTTACGTGCATACTTAACAGCACAGAGGCCAATAACAAAGTTGGCACGAGTACATAGAAATACAGATATAACTAAAAGACAAAATACAAATAGGACAGTCCATACAATGGCATTAAATTAATAATAATTCCAAGAAAAATTAAAGTTAGCATTAACAGGTGAGAAAATAAAATAAGTACTTTTCGAATGGTTGTTCTATTATGTGGTGAGAAAGGCAATACACATACATACACACACACACACACACACACACACATAGAAGTTAATAATAATAATCATAACCCAATTAATTCTTATTTATTCGTGTGGCAGTTCAACATCCTAATTCAATTCAGTTCAATTCAATTCATGCTTATTTACATACAACTTAACAGCACAGAGGCCAATTAAAAGGTTAGCATGAGTACATAGAATTACATAAAAATAATTTAAAAACAAATACTAAATTTGAGAGTCTACATAATGACAATAAATTATTAATAATACCAAGAAAAATTAAAGTTAACGTTAACAGGAGAGAACAATAAAATAAGACCACATACACACAAGTAATATTAAGAGTATCATTAACAAATATTATTAACAATTTTAGGTTCAGTGCCATTGACAGAAAGTGTTCCGATTGCAAATATGTCGAGATCTTTACCCACCGCGTTGGCAGCACAGGCGCACCGAGCAGAAGGACAGTATTTATTATTATTATTAATGATGATAATAATAACAATAACAACAACAACAACAACAAATTCGCGTACCTAGCAAATAATACGAAATAGACAAAAAAATGTTGTCCTAATGTGGCCAAGTGTCGCGTCTTCCGTTTCCATGGCAACCATAGATTAGTAAAAATGGCAGTGAAGTGTGGATTGTTATGGGGGTTGTGGATTTGTAAATAATGGGTATTTGAAGTGTCTTTTACGACGTTGTAAGAAAGCTGGAGTATAAGGGTTATAAAGAGAATGGAGTTCGAAAGTCCAGATGTAGAAAAGGATTTTCCAGGTCTATATGCTTCAGAATCTGGAAAGAAGAGCAACGAAAGTGATTGTACGTCTTGCATTTTCATAGTCGCGTATTGAATTATTTAATGTTATATTACATTTTGGTATGAATGTATATTCATAGCATTTGGAATGAATTAAATTAAATTTAAAGGGTTCAAATGATTACTCTAAAGAATAGAACCTGCTGTGAAAATACCTTTTTCTCTGTATCAAACATAACCTCAATAATGTAGGATTTGATGTTCCCACACCAAAGGTTGTAAAGAGTTCTGTGACTATACGGCGTCATATTCCAGAAGATAGAACTCATCATAGCCTGAATAATGTTGCTGTAATAATATCATTATCATTTATTATCATTCAACAATCCATACATACAACCATTTGGATAAGGAAATTGTTAGTTTTACATATAATTCTCATGCATATCTTTATAGTATACACTGTACCACGCTAAAATAGGGGGTTTGTTGTCTGAATAATATTATCTAGATCAAGTTACCATTAATTTCATTGTCTTTACACAAATACAACAAATGAATCAGCTATATGTTACATTTACACACTTGAAAAATCAAAAGACATAAATTCATCTACAAAATAAAAGGAATGTACAGCAAAGAAGATTTTAATTCCTTTTTAAATGAGTTAAAATTTTCCCTTTGTTTTATTTGATCAGGGAACTTATTATACAAACTAATTCCAACATTTATCACACTCTAAAAAGAGCTGTATTACAGTGCTGTACATGAAAATTTATTTTTTTTGTATGTTATAATTATGAATGTCCGAATTTATTTCCATAAAAGCCTTGTATTTTTTGATAAAGCATGTCACCTCCAATATATACAGAGAAGGCAATGTTTAAAAATTTGTGTACATGACGTGCGACTACTAATACCACTAATCACTCGAAGAACCCGCTTTTGCAATTTAAAAATGCTTTTACTTTCCCCATTCCCACCCCACAATAAGATACCATTTCTCATACATGACTCAGAATTTGAAAAATAAATAATTTTTATCATATATGGACTCATTATTTCTTTTAATATTTTCACCATATAAATTACTTTGCATAGCTTTGCTTTTAGAAATTGAGCATGACCGCACCATTTTAGGGTTTCTGTCATGTGAATTCCAAGAAATCTCAGTTCTGACTGATATACTATTTCTGTAATATTAAAAACTATTTGTGGTCTTAACAGATCTCTCCACTGTTTTGAATGAAATGACATGGCAGATGTCTTTTTAGTATTTATTACTAGGTTATTTTTTTGGAACCATATTTCTAATTCTTTCATAACGTTCATTATTTTATACTGAAGGTAAAGTTCATCTTTTCCAGTAATTAAGAAATTGGTATCGTCTGCATATAAAACCAGCTTTGCTCCTTGAACATTTTCTGTAAGATCATTAATGTACAGTAAAAATAAAAGCGGCCTCAACACTGATCCCTGTGGTACACCATACTTCACTTTCCTACATGATGAATTATAACTGGTTTTGACACTGCCGTCAGTGTTTTTTATTTCTACATATTGGAGTCTGTTTGACAGGTAAGACCTGAACCACATGTTTGGCACGCCACTTATGCCATATGAGTCTAGTTTCTCTAATAGTATATCATGGTCTATTACATCATATGCCTTTGATAAATAAAAAAATAATCCTATGGCATATAGGCCATTATCTAAGGTCTCCTGTATACTTTCAATAAAAGACTGTCTTGCTGTGTTAGTTGATTTATTCGTTCTGAAGCCATTTTGGACCTCTGTTAATATATTATTTTGAATTAAAAAAGCCATTAGCCTATTATACATTAATTTTTCTAATATTTTGGAAAAGGCTGATAAAATGGATATCGGTCTATAGTTTTTAATATCATGATATTCCCCTTTTTTATGCAGAGGTATCACTTTACCTAATTTTAATCTATCTGGGAAGATGCCTGAGCTCAATGAGGCATTGAAAATATGAGCCAGTGGTTTTCTTTACATAATTTATACATTTTTTATAAGATATTCTGGTATCTCGTGATATCCTTTACCTTTTAGATTATTTGTTACACACTCCATTTCATATTCAGTGACTGGATGGAAAAATATGGTATTAGGGCAGCAGTTTATCGTTTGTTTCTGCCACTGTGTGTTTTTGTTATTTTTGTTGTTTTGACTTAAAAGGTCATCAGCTATTTCAAGAAAGAAATTATTTAACATATCTACCACACTTTGCGGATCTGTTATTATTTTCGTACCGCTAAACTGTTGGATTTTTTTACCACCCTTACATGACTTACCAACTTCATTTTTTTATTAAATGTCACATAGCTTTCATTTTATTTTGAGACCTTGAAGCATACTTATCATATGCTATTTTTTTTTTTTTGCTTCTTTTATAACACTTATAAACCTTTTTATATGTGGTGATATATTCCAGCATGTCCCTAGACAGATTAAGCTGTTTTTAAAACCATTTAACAGTCTCATCCTTTTACCAGAATTTCTTATACCTTGGGTAATCCATTTGTTTTTCCTTGTCATTTTCATCTAAACAGTCTTTTTTGGAAATGCTATATTATAATAAAGGATCCTGTCCATAAAATCATTAAAACTAGCACTTGCATCTGAGTTTGAAAAACTCTCCTGCCATAACTCCTTCTGCAATAAATAATTAAACTCCTGGATACCCTCACACCCAAAGACTTTTGGAAGTGATTTAATGCCATGTAAGAAATTACATGTAAGATTTGTGTCCCTAAAACTGCATGAGCATTGGAAGAAGACCCCATTGGCTTCTTTGTTTCTTTAGTTTCTTGACCTAAACTTTTCCTGGAAAGCATAAAAAAGCTGTGATGTGACAGGGGAGCATGAATTCGTGTACTATTCTGAAATTTAAAATGCCTTCCTGGCTTTTGTCTAACAGGTATATTTGCAAAATATGATGACCAGTTATCTGTACTTGTATTACGTAATTAAGAGTCATTTGTATGAGGACATGCCCCTAGCACTACCAACATCACCATTACCTACAGGACTGCACATGACATTTAACCCATTTTACAATTTCATCAGCAAATGTTCCCAAGACACTATCTGTCCTGTTGCTTATTCTGATGAATTGTATCAGAGTGTCTCAGGGATGTGCCAAAAGTTTGTTCCAATTTTTTAGTTAAACACTGCTTGTTACATTTTTCCTTTAAATTCTTACGCAGTCAGTGATGATGCCCATGACCGGCCTTCTAAAAAGGACCTACTCATTGGCAAACGTAAGGACAAAAAGGATTCAAAGAAAGACAGAGGTTATGCAGCTTTGGAAGGCGAGAGCTCTCCTGAAGAAGACCCAGAAATGAAGTTAGTGTCATTGAAATCAGTTCAGGTTTAGCAATGGGAATGATTTCTGTAAACAGCTTTTCTCTTCTGTTAAATTAGATTTCATGACTTATGTCATTTTCATCATCATATACCTTAACAGAGCTAGACAAATTAAGGGTTAAAAGGATTAAATCAATAAGATTTTATAATTAAGCCATGTACAGTATTATGGTGATAAGAGTGATATATGTGGCCTGTTGTACATGTCTGTGCATGTTTTATATTTTGTACATAAATGATGGTTATTGTGAAATGGATGTATCCTCGGATTTACATTGTATGATCAATTATTTTATTATAGTGTTACCTAGCATAGTGAGTGATACATTATATGTGGCCTATCATAGACACATGTATGTTTTATACTTCGTGATATCCAGTCGGAATTATATTGTATGGTTAAATATCTTATTATTATTTTGTTATCCAGTATAAATGATGACGGATTTTATATCTATGTACATAGATCTCTGGAAGACACATTAAATATGAATATGAAAAAGGGTGGCTTATTTCATCCTCAGCATCCATCTTTTCCAATAGTCTTGGTTTAAGTACATGTCAAAGTCACTGTCTGCTAATTGTATTGTATTTAAGAATTTCATTTAGGAATCTCTTGTGCTTTTAAAAACGCACGATTCATTCCCATTGTGATTTATCAAATAACCGCCATAAGATTAGGAAGGAGCCTCGAGATGTAACTGAATATTAACATGAAATTTATGACTCTGTTTAGGAGTCCTTCAAAGTCAAAAAAATCCAAATCATTCAAGTTTCCAAGCAAGAAAGAGAAAAGAGAAAAATCAAGAGAAAAGGATGCTAAAGAAAAGGAGAAAGAAGTTGAGAAGGAAAAGAAGAAAGAAAAGGATGGAAAAGTTAAATTAAAACTAAAAGAACGGAAGAAATCAAAACATATGGAAGATTCTACAGAAGTTGCAGGTGGGTCTGGTTCATTTCTGTTTCTTCAATTTGAATCACTTTCTCAGTAAATTTTATTGGCAAACTCTGTGTTTCAAGCCAAATATCTGCAAAAATAAGGTTGTGAATGAAATTTATGTGTTTTTGTTATGTCTGCAACCACATATATAATATACACTAAATGATTTTCTTTGTCATTATCTCTAGATGAACAGCCAGTCTTTGGTGTTCCATTAGAACTTGCTGTTGAGAGAAGCCATTGTCATGATGGTGTATATATTCCTGTCATCGTGCGTGATTGTATCGACTTTGTACAAGAACATGGTATGTGAATTGTTATAAGCCTGTGTCTGTATGTGTATATATATATATATATATATCTTCAAAGCCTTGCAGTTTTTACATACATTCATTGTTTTATGTGCTTTTTACCCCACAGGCTTGTACACGGAAGGTGTGTACAAAGTATCAGGCATCAAGTCCAAGGTGCAACATCTTAGGCGACTGTACAATCTCCGTGAAGCTGTTCAGTTGTCAGACTATGAATTACCGGTTGTCACAAGTCTTCTTAAACAATATCTCAGGTTACCTTCCTTGTTTATTTAATTTGGATGAGGGAAAAGGTGATGATCCTTCCCAAAAAGACTACAGAATATCTTATGTATTTTGCCTTTTGAAGATTACTATCTTGTGAGATGTAATGCCATGTAACTTGGTAGATATATACAGATACAGATATATATACAGTGCATCCAGTTCACAATGGAGACTGAAACTGAAGGCCACTTCCCCTTCCTGGATATAGATATTTACAGGAGACCCGACGGTTCCCTGGGCCATAGAGTGTACCGCAAATCCACCCATACAAAGCTGTACCTTAACGCTGCGTCCCACCACCACCCTTCCAACAAGCAAGCTGCACTTTCCACATTGGTGCACGGGGTAGAGCACTGTGTGATCAAGACAGCCTACATGCGGAGTTGGTGCTCCTGAAGGATGTATTCAAGAAGAACGGATACAACAACCGGCAGATCCACAGAGTTCTCAACTGTTGGCCCAACATCAGCCGGCCTGAAGACAAACTGCTCTTAGTCGCCTTCCTTCCCTATGTCGGGACCACATTCAACCATATCAGCAGAGTGCTATCCCGGCACAACATCAAAGCAGTGGGTCTGCCTCAAAACAAATTATCCAATTTCCTCCGGCCGGTTAAAGACAGCCTGGGCCTAAGGACACCGGGTGTATACAGTATCCCATGCGAGTGTGGGAAGGTCTATATTGGGCAGACAGGCCGCTCCGTGGACATGAGGTTGAAGGAGCATCAGCGGCACATCTGTCTTGAATAACCGGACAAGTCGGCCGCAGCTGAACACAGCATCGATCTGCGACACTGCATTCAGCTTCAGAATACCTCCATCCTCGCCACCAAGACCCGCTATATGGATCGCATCATTAGGGAGGCAATTGAGATTGAACTGCATCCAGAAAATATGAACAGGGAGGGGGGGTTTTGTCTCAGCACGTCTTGGAAGCCTCTCATCTGTTCTCTTAAAAACNGTTCTCACGGTCTCTTCGCTTCCAGATTTCTTATATTTTTTCTTCTACCCTGAAGATGGAGGCGATACGTTCTTCCGAAACGTCGGTTAACACCACATATACACGGTGCCAAATCCCAAAAGACTACTTGCTTTATATACAGATACTTAGGAGGAACCAGATGTGCCCATCTTTAGGATTGAAGAAGCTGAAGAAGGAGAAGCAGGTTACCCAAAAATGTTGGTATCTACCAGATTACATGGCATCATATTCCAAAAGACAGTATCTTCATATAGTCACTGCCATGAGAATCTTAAATCTCATATTAAGGGACCAGACATTGTGGTCAAGTGAATAGCACTCCCGTTTCATATTGATGAGGTTCTTTATTTGAATCTTAGCCCAGAGACTAACCAACACAGAGATGTTTGTGGGTTTCCTCAGTCACTACAGGCAAAAGCTGGTATGGTACTTCAAAATAGGCCATGGTCATTTCCTTCTACATCATCTCCAATTCCTCATTCGCAGAACATCCTACTAATGAATTCTACATAACCTGTACAGTTAAAGAATTTCAATTAAATAAATTAGGAATCAGTCTTTGAGGGAGGTAAATGAGATTTGAGGTGTTCATGGTTGTGTAGGTTCATATTGTGATTTTCTTAGTTATGACACCGTTTAGTCTGGTAGGTTAATTAGTACAAATGTTTTGAAGGAACATGCTGTCCTGAAGATGGAGGTATGTCGTTTCTCTGAAACTTCTGCACTCATCTACCAGAATGGACTCTGTCAAGACCCAAGCAACCACAATGTGAGCGTGAACTTAAAAGTTTTATTTCAGTAGCTTAGAATATAGCGTCAAATAGTGTGATAATTAGTGAGTAACAAATTTGAAAGGAGATGGAAGGAGTAATTTGAGGTACTATCATGGCATTATTCTGGAAGGACTGGAGAGAACTACAGGAGATCTCAGTCAGTATAGTCAGTGTCATGGCCGAGATTTGAAGAATGCACCTTTCTAATACAAGTAAGAAGATTAACCTAAAGATGCTGTTATGGTGTCATCTAATGCATGCTAATTTTTGTTGTGCTATGACTTGAGCTTAAGCTATGTTCTGCATATTGTGCATTATGGCTCTATATATTTCAGAAACTTGCTTGTATTTTGACCCTACACTTGTGTGCTAAGTTTAGAAAGTTCACTGTTAACACAGAGAACTGCCAGAGCCTATTCTTACCTCAGAGCTTCTGGCAAGGTTTGAAGAGGCTGGAGCTGAAAAAGAAATGGCAACAAGGGAATCAGAACTTCATAATCTGTTAATGCAGCTGCCAGCATGCAACAGACAGCTTCTGGCATGGATTATGCTACATCTTGAGAACATAACTGTACATGTAAGTTTGTCAGCAAACTTGTGAATTAACCTTAAGGAATGTATGAAAAGTGCATAAGATTTACTAAATGAAGAAAGCAGTTGTCTGGGACGTGGCACCATGTAGATGTGCTTGTACTGGTTCTCACGGTCTCTTTGCTTGCTGATTTCTTATTTCTCCTACCCTGAAGATGGAGGTGATACGTTCCTCCGAAACATCGGTTAACACCACATCTACACGGTGCCACATCCCAGAAGACTGCTTTCTTCAAAGTCACGGCCGTGAAAACCTCAAATCTTGCAAGATTTGTAATGTTACATATTTTCACATGTTCAAACATTTTTAGTGGGAAAAGTTGTAAGTGTTCCAGTAGTGTTGTAATAATTAATATTTTTATTGTTTTGGTTTTCACAGTTTCTCATTTAAATCCGAAACACGTTATTATTTCTGGATGTCATGACCCTCAATAGTGTTTGCTGATTGTGTGCAAGCTTGCATGAGCGTATGCGATATAAGTGGATTTAAAAATGCATCAGAATCTATGGCTGTTTGCACCTGGAAAAAACTCAACTTAATATGTCAGCCTAAGAATAAGAAAGCCTAACATAAAAGAAAAGAGAGTCTAAATCACACCTCAAGAAAATAACACAAAACAACAATCTCATAAACAAAATACTTGCATACTCAGCAAGAAAAATCAAAGCAAACCCACCCGCACCATACTCAATATTAAAACCAGAAACCAATTCAGACTCACCTTCAGCAAAATCAAAAGGAGCATGATTGGTCTCAGCCAAACAAGAATTAACAAGAATTCAGAATTACCTTGACTTGTCCTATATCATGTACAATGATCTACAGTGACGAAATAAATCAATCAATCAGTCAAACAATCAATCAATCAATCAATATTTAGCCTGGAGTAAGATTTATTTAAATTATACATTATTCAGCTTATAGAGACCCTGACTCATTATGGATACAATTTTAAAATTAAGCTATGACAAATGGTGTGTTGGAATGCAACAATATGATAAAATTGTATTTGAGCATGTGAGATTATAAAACAATGCAAATAAAGTGGCTTAGTCAGAAGAATAAAATATTATCATTTAAATAGACTTTGCTGCCTGTATACCGTTATACAATGTTGCAATGTTAGACATGTCACAGTAATGGGGAATTCAGTCTTCTGGGACATAATGTCATGTAGTCCATTGAAAGTCAAGTTGATTTCAGTGGCGGACTACACAGCATTATATGGGTTAGCATTCAATGGACTATATGGTGTATATGATATCCCAGAAAGTAGAACTGCTCATGATCACCAATGTGAAAATCTCAAACCCTTCATCTTAAGGCAGTGTATGTTGAAACTTTATTTCAAATTAGTACTGTGAATTTCTTCCTGTATATCTAAATGTTATTTCCTTTTCTGTATAACAGTTTATGTTATGACCACTTGGGAATAATGTAAGTAACTAATATTTTTCAGGAAAAAAACAATAAGATGAATGCGCAAAGTATAGCTATCATCTTAAGTCCAGTTATCCAGATGAGCCATCGACTGCTCACGGCGTTCCTCTGCCATTGCAACTTCCTCTTCCCAGATGTGAAGCTGAACAAGTAAGTCTTTATATTTGCTGTGTAAACACAGAAACATTTATTCACTTTGCAAGTAGAAACTAATTTCTTTGACTTCACAGGCACATTCCTTCAGTTTCAGGGTTACCTCACAATTGAAATTAAACATAAAAGCTTACCTGGAAAGTTATAAAAATAATCCAGTAGTTCGGTCAGGTTTAGTATTTGCTGCTCTTTTGGTTCCTTTTTTATTTGTTCTTTTCATCCTTTTTTATTTGTTCTTTTCACCCCTTTTAATGAGGAATTTGTCCCCTTTCCAATATATACAGTGAATGACCTCAAGTTTGTTTGAGTTGTAAATTTAGACTGTTTTTGTTTTGTACAGTGACAGTTTTGGTGAGAATTATTTGTTGTGCCCATTCAGAAAATGAGTTATCAGTGGATGTATTTTGGGGGGGGGGGAAGTACAAACACAAATTTAGCCAAAGAAAGTCAAGGTTATTATAGATTAAAGCAGCATAAGTCATGGTTCAAGGAAGGTTATTGAAAACTAATTTATCCAAGGAAAGAAGCCAAACTACAATGGTTACAGGATTCAGGCCAAATAAATAGAGTTAATCTGAATAATATATGACATGAAGATTGTAGACATTTCAGGAACAAAAAGAGGAAATTCCTGAAGTACAAAATTCTTGAGTAGATTAACAACTGTTGGCTTCTCAAGAAGAACTCAGCTCCATGTAGTTTGTTTGTTTGTTAGAGACACTAGAGTTTTTAATGTAGGAACTGTGGCAGGCCATATTTTTATTAGCCCAGAAGGTCTTTCAGATATGTCCTTAATGGTTTTGTATATGAAATTCAAATAGAGATTATTCTGAATCTGTTCAAGGATATGACCAAACCCTAAAAATGTATTTCTGTCAGCTGATTTTATGATAGGTCTCATCAGCATTAAAATAACAAAAGAAGCCTCTTTCTGTCATATGGGACTTTTTATGGGCAAAGTGGCATTAGGGTTTTTATGTGAATACTTCAGTTCATGGAGTAGGAAGCAGTTGTGACCTACTTCAAGGAAATATCCAGGAATTCACCTGGAACAACTGAGGAAACCCACAGGAAACCTGGAAACATTTCAACCCATTAGGACTGAGGCAACCTGCTATGCCATACTGAGTATCAGGAATATGGTATCAACAGTTGAATAGAAAGTTGATTAGTGTAACATGTCCTTGTGCTGTGTATTTTAAACAGTAATAAAAATAAACCAGTGATAAGACATTCTGAGCCATTTTAGATTGTAACTGATTTACAGCCATTAAACATCATTACATTATTAACATTAATTATATATTTGATTTGTTTCATTCTGGTCCATCACACTATTCAGTTATTCAGTATTAGAAGGGGTGTGTTTCCCCATGCACCGCGACTAGTAGTCTATTTTACATCCCCCTTTAATTTCTACTGTCGCCATACCCTACCGGTACTGGTGCTCACTATCAGCCCCTTTCTGCCAGTGAGGTCGGCCCTCTTCTGGCAGTGGTACCCGATAACTTCCCCATCTACTGGAGGCATTGGAAACTCCTTGGGTGGGAAACTTTTTGCCTAATTTTGCTCAGAGGTCTCCTAGAGACATGAGGATCTTTTACATGCTGTAAATCTACGACACGGGACCCATGGTTTAAAATCCCTCCCGGAGGACTTGTTCCCTGAATTTTTCAGCCCTTAAAAATTCCATGACCTCCGCCGGGTTTGAACCTGCGTACCTTGAGTCATGAGGTGGGAACATTACCCCTAGACTACGGAGGCCGCTTCCATCACACTAACAAATTACAAAGACAAATGAACTCCGTCCAGTGTGACTATTGGTGGTTTTACTACTTGAAAACTTAACGCCCTTACATGTTTCGGTCCTTAAAGACCATCATCAGAGGGAACATCGATACTTTTTTGGAAACTACTATCGCAATGGGTGTTTTGAGTGTTAAAATACATATACATACAATGTTTGTAATGCACAATGTATACAAAATCCAACTTTTCCACTACTACAGCAGCTGTCTTGGTATATTAAAGTTTTTAAAACTTTGTTATTTAAGTTAAAATTTATAAACCAAGTAGGTTCGTGTCCCTTCTCCTATTGTCTTTCTTGAAGGGACACTGAATTCCATAATTTGTTATATACACTTACATTCCATCTTCTTCAAGGACTCATTTTAGTAGTGTTCTGAATTTTCGTATTTCACTTCATTGGTTTTATTAATTTTATCCACAGACTAAATGCTATTCTGGCATTATGTAATGCAAAGCTGTAGGATATATGTGCTTGACCTCCACTGTGTCATGAGGATGATAATGCTATCTTGGTTTGCTTCCCTTCTGTGTAAGATATGAACCACCACTAACAGCAGGGAGTCCTCTCCCAGACACTCCAACTGGAATAGCTGATCAGCTTAGGAAGCAGGAGTCACTTCTCAACCAGATCCATAAGGAAATGAATGCCGGCTTTGTCTCAAAACGTAAGGAGGAGCAGCTGTGGGAGGTCCAGCGAATCATTACCCAGCTCAAGGTATTATAGAAATAACAATAAGACAGAATGGCAGTTTGACATAGTAATTACATTGAAAATGTCAAAAAGTCTGCACATAAATGTACGTTCTGTCAAAATATGTCAAAATTATGTTATGGAATCTTTTCCAGTTCAAAGAAAATAAAATCAGATTTTCTATATATTTTTACTAGTGCTATGGTGGCAGAACTCAAATGTTCGCTATTGCTAATACCAAAGCCTGTCATTGGACACATGCACCTAACTCAGAACCTATATCTGCGAGTTCCATTTTAATATTATCCCCCCAGCCCTTTCTTGGTCTTCCAGGAGGGTTTACAACCAGAATTCTATGACTTGTAATGAAGTAATAAGACAGATTCAGAACCCTGTTCACAGGAAACAGAGATTGTGGGAATTCAAGTAAATGTTACTACTTTCTCTTGTCAGCAATTTTAATGAAATTATTATTTTATATTTTACACCACATATTATTAGCAAGTAGTACTGACTCCTCTCAGTCACATCGTAGCTGCAGTAAATCTGTGAAGTGAAAGTGCATCATATGTAAACAAATAGTAATGTTTTATCGCACAAGTTTTATTTTGTGGTAAAAAATACAGTTAATAAATGTGAATATTTTTAACTAGTATGGATATTAAGGAAATACAACTTAAAAAACATTTACAAATAAATACCGCAGCATATAATAAAATATGGACATACACATGTCAGTACTGAAGCAGATTGCACTACCCTGACACGTCTAGTTGTACAAAATGTTTGATTTGTGAAAAAGGCAATTTTTTTTTTTTGGAACTTATTCCTACCATTTTATTTGATACATTCATGGCTTCTCTCAGTCGACTGCAGATTGTAATGGCAATTTCCTTTGCATAGGTGCTCACTCAATCATATGGTCTTCCTGATGTACTGTGAGGATAGAGGAAATCCACACAAAAACATGTCTTCTGTTGTTTTTCCCATCTATACACTTCCTTTAACATTTCTTATGTTTCAGTAGTATCTTTTCCAGTGTCGGTATAAATTTAATGTTCATTCTGTCTCTAATATTTTGTCAAACTAATGTGAACCACTTCACAGAAAGACGCTTACTGCAACTACAAAATGAAATGACTGTAATTACTGCTAGTTACAACACTTCATGTTTCATATTCAGTAAATCTTAGGTTTTGATCTTGACCTGGAGACCAGCTACCTTGATTAAGGTTTTCTGGGTAGTCCCACCATGAAAATACTGGGATTATACCTCAAATTAGTCCATGACTGCTTTTTTCTACAACCTCAATCACTAGTTGTAATATAATTTAATGCTGAATAATCTTAGCAATTGAAAACATTATTAAATACACCAAAAATAAATAAACAAGCCACTGTTGCTGGTTCCTGCACAAAAATAACAATCTAGTTAGTAAATTTTCAAATTTTATAACAGCTTCCATTATTTACGTATGTAGTATTTGACTGTCATTACCTCTTTCAGATGTATTGAAGTCACATAAAATTAACATATTCTTATGATGTGAATGTTTCCAAGTAACACATGTCATTGCAGAGGAAGCTAAGAACAGTGCAACGAACACAGGAGATGAGTCAGAATCAAAAGAGTCTGGAGGATGAATGCAGCTGCAGACCATATGATGACGAATTCCACATTGATCTCACTTTGCAAAAAGCTTCTTCCTGTTCTGAAGATGACACTGCAGTAGGTACAGTCAGCGCAGCAGAAGTTAAGCCAATGGCAGATGACTCAGCACACGAAGTGTTAAAGCCTCCATCTCCATCTTCAGCAGAGTTACAGCAGCAGGAACAACCCCAACCACAGCCATCACAGCAGCAACAGGAAGTCCAACAGCAACCTGCGCCACCTCCGCCACCACCACCACCACCACCGCCGCCGCCACCACCGCCACCGCCACCGCCACTAGCACCATTACATGATGGTGTGGATAGCCCACAGGATCCAACAGAGAAAATTCCAAAACAACAGGTGGATTATTACCAGTGAACTTACGTTATCCCTTTTTCTCCCCTGTCTGAGGTTTACTGTACATTGCTCTGAGTACTGTATTTGTTCAAGGTGGGATAGAATTTATTTTTGGTTTTGTTTGCTGTCCACTATGCAACAGTGTTAAGATTTAAAATTAAATCATTTTGAAATTAGTACAACAAGGTGGGATAGTAACATTACATAACATAAAATATTTCCATTTCAGAATGCACTTCAAGCACATACTTTCTTCCTCTGTATATTATGCATCTTATCATTCATTGGTGAAATATGGAATAATATATTGGGGAAATACATCAGACAGTCATAAGGTCTTTGTTATACAGAAGAAAATAATAAGAATAATGATGGGAGTGGGCCCAACTCATACGTGTAGAGATTTATTTAAAAAGCTTGACACTACCAATCCCATGTGTGTATTTGCTCTCATTGATGACATTTGTTGTTAATAATTTGGATAAGTTTCAAACCAATAACTTTGTATATGTGATTGGTACCATAAGGAATGACCACCTTCGCATACTTTCAACACATTTATCATCCTATCAGAGAGGGGTGTATTATTCAGGCGTCAAGCTATTTAATACTCTGCCGTCAAATATCACACTTTTAAAAAATGATAAGGAGCAATTTAGGTTTGTTTTATGAAATTATTTGCAAAGTAACACATTTTACTGTATTGATGAATTTGTCGAGTATGCAAGGGGCTCAAAAGTTAAAGTTAATAAATGGTCTGTGTGCGTGAATTATACATTGTTGAGACTTGCTTGTTGTAAGTGTCGTAGTATGTATGATGTCTGTTTTTGTTATGAATTTTAATATTTTATAATGTAACTGTTTGGATGATACGGCTTGCCAGTGTGTGTGGAATGGCAAGGTGTGAATTTGATGAATTTGACAGTTTTTTCCATGACCTATGTGTGTGTGTTGTCCTGACAACTTGAGCTATCTGTGTTAGGCCTGATTATATATTTCACTGGACCAAGGACGAATGATGTGTAGTCATCATGAATTTGTAATATGTGACATGTTTTATATCCATCCCTATGGGGAGATGATTGGATCCATGAAGTGAAAAATAAATGTAAATGTAAATATAAATGTAAACACTAGTATTTGAAAATTTTGAAAATGCAGTTTTGCTGCATCTTGCAACAAATACTTCAATATATGAGCCAGGATGGCTTAGCTAGTGTAGTGATTAGGCTAGACAGCTGGGCAATCAGAATTCTATCCCCATCAGGGACTCAGATATTTGTTATCTCCAGTGTACAGATTGGCTCAAGGCTTACCGAGCCTGCTGCCCTTCAGTGTGGATAGGGGCTTATGCCTCTGCTCCATCACACATTGTATGGGCGTGGTATTCAATTAAGCATAGGAACAACATTATTACTTCAATTTATCAATGACAAGTTTCCAAAGCTTCACAACATTATGTAGAATGTTGATCAGAAACAGAGCAGTGTGATAGGTTCTTCAAGATACATATTTGTGATGAATGCACCAGTCTGATTAGCAGTGTGCCACGAGGCCAGTGAAACTGCAGAAATATAAAAAGAACTTTTCTGCATTCAGTAAAAGCTCAATATTTTGCTTCCGGTTACATACTATAGTGTTTGTTTCATATGCACCAAAATAGGGAAGTGGGCACATTCATTGCTCAACTAGAGGTTCTAAAAGTTTGCCTTTGTACATGCAACACTATGAGACAGGAGAATGTGATTATGTAAGGAATACCAGGTTGTGCAGTTGCATTTCTATATGGCCTAACTTCTGGACCAGGTTTGATTTGTTTCATTCTGGTCCGTCACACTAACAATTACAAATATAAATCACTCCGTCCAATGTGACCTGTAAGTTTTTTACTACATGAAAACTTAACACCCTTACATGTTTCGGTCTCTGTGGACCATCTTCAGAGGGCAAACATCACTACAAATAGGAAACCACCATCACATAAGTTGTTTAGAAGTAAAGTACGTACACTTATATGCTACAATACATAGTACACAAAATTGAACATTTCACAAACACAGCACTTTCCTGGGAATGTAAAGTTTTTTATAAAATTGTATAAAATTTCTTGATGCTAATTAAAAAAAATTTTTTTTTTTTTTGATTGTCAATAATTAAAATTCGTAAACCATACAGGCTCGTGTTTGTCCTCCCATCGTCCCTCTTATATGGGGCAGATATTGTGCTACCTGGCTATCTTGATGTGGAGGTTCTTTATATTGTCCAGGCTTTGCTCATGGCTGCTGTGCTGTTTTCACTGTTCACTGTGAAGATGGTCCACAGAGACTGAAACATGTAAGGGTGTTAAGTTTTCATGTAGTAAAAAACTTACAGGTCACATTGGACGGAGTGATTTATATTTGTTCTGGACCAGGATTTGCGACTGTTACAACTAAATATTAGAGATGGGTTTATATTTGCATTGGTTACAAAGTAGTCTGTGTATCACATGAGAGGAACACAGAATAAGTAAGGAACTGTCATTTCTGAAGGTGTCAATCCATGGCTTAAAAGAAAATTGCGTTTGTCTACTGGAAAAACAGTCATTTATATTTTAAAACTATTAACAATTGAAGAATATTGATCTAGTTATATGGGAGCCATTTCTGAATGAGGATATGGTTTTTCAGTATTAATTTTGGTTTTGTAAACTTAACTCACTAACATTCACTTTTATTTGTTGGCACACTGGATAGGTTCAACAGGATCAACTCCATTCCCCTAAAGCTCCTCCTGCCGGTGATATTGACACTGCTTCACCAAGCAAGAGTGAAGATTCCAGTGATGATGCAGATGTGACTGAGGTCTTAGAGCAGGCATCTACAAGTGACAACCCTCTAGGACAAGAAGAAGAGTTGCAAGGACTCTTACAAGAAGAAAAACTTTTGCTGTTGGAGCATCAGGAATTGCTAAGCCTTCAGGCAGATCTGCAAGGGAGAGTCCAAGAGGAACGGACTGAGATAAAGAGGTTGAGAACAGAGCTGGCAACTGCAAGATCCCAATACAGTTACAGGTAATGATAATTCTGGACTACAGTAAAACCTACTTTAACCCTTCCGCACCGACATCCGTGTGCTGCACCGACTCTTTAAANGGTGTTGAAAGAGACTTGAATGTATTTATGCTTCAGAAGGATTTGATTTTTCGCAAGTACTTACTCAAACAATACTGCATAGTGTTTTCCATATATAGTATGATCCTTATCATATAATGTAGATATGTACACTATGCTCTTATTGAGTAGTACACAGTTACAGGTCACTCATTTCATTCTTTTTGTTGTACGTTCTTCCAGCAGTTCATCAAAATATGCTGCACATGTATGATCAGATGTAATTTATTGTTTGTGATGTGGGTGATCCTTTTCAGATAAATTCTAAGAAGAAAAGTGTTGTACATATTTAATTTGCTTCTCTTTTTGTGTTTTACATGAGGACAGAGATAGAGCCACTCTTCAAAACATAATCAGAATTGTCGTCCTCGTCGTCTTTATCCTTTCCAGTATTAGGCTTATTGAGACCCATTACAGATACTACAAACAGAATGCTTAAATTGTTCTGTAGGTCTCCCCAAACTTCTCTCCCCTTTTGGTTGATATTTTAAGATTTTTTTTCAGATGAATAAATCCACTCATCCTGTAAATATATTATTTCCAATTTTGTCTGTGTTTTATCAATTATGTTATTTGTGAAATTTGTAATTCTCTATCAGTTTCTTCACTTCATTTGTGGTCTGAGAATGTGTGTGTTCCACAGTCTACCTTGTGGAATGTATTTCTGCCGATATCTTTTTCATTGGTTTTGTCATGTCCATGATTAATTACCGTAATATAATGTTGGTCTGCTGATCACAGTGGGCATGTAATCTAAGGCATGAAATATCTTTGCCCAGTCAAACACTGGGATTGTGGGTTCAAATCCCACTCAAGGTATGAATGTCTTTCTGCATTTGTTTTGTGTTTGTGTTGTCCTGTGTAGGTAGCGGCCTTGCGACAGGCTGATCCCCAATCCTAGGAGTCCTACCAACTGTCTGAGATTAAGGACCTGAAGTGAAACAGAGCGTTTCATGGATGTCCTATGCTCCAAGTGAGAGCAACATAATAAGAAGAAGAAGAACAACAACAACAACAGCAACAGCAGCAACAACAACAACAAAAACATTAACAACAACAATAATAATGATAATAATGATAATAATAATAATAATAATAATAATAATAATAATAATGTTGTTGGTCTAGCATTTTAAAAAATTTGTAGTGTATTCTTGTATGTCTAGAACTTAATGATGGAAATCATTTTTATAATTTTATAGTTTAAGTCACAGACAATAAATGAAGTGCCATAATAATATTTTATATATTTGTTTTAGGGGATTTGATGAAAACAGTTCAGAAGGTAGCAGTTCACCATCACACTCGGAATGTAGTGATGTGGATGATCCTTTGCTGGGCATACGTATTGCAGAACTGCAACGTGATAATCAGTTATTGCAGGTCTCACTTTATCTTATCAGAATATTGTTAAGACTGCTAGAAATGTTACTACAGGAAAAACAGTGGTCAGATTCTAAGAAATGTTAACTTACAGTATATCAGTGTTATTATTGCCAATCCTGAGTTCAAATGTACCTTGAATAGCAAGGAATAGGATGAACACAATGTGAATATCTGTTAATTTTTATTATTCATATTCTTTTTGCAGGAAAAGAAATCTACTCTTGTGCGTCGCATCATGGAGGAGCGAGAGGCATGCCTGCACCTTCGTGTCCAACTCAGCTTGCTCCATCTCTCACAAGAATCTAAACAGTTATGAGTTCGATTCGTGTTCCAAAAGTGTCAACTTCTTAAATTTTGTTAATCTTTACTGTGTTTAATGTTTTCATCACTTACTTGGAAATTGATGTGTCATGTATCATATCTGTAGTCTCTGCCTATAATTTACTTTGATAATATGTGTTATTGAGAGATACCAGTAGTCAGCAGTGTACAGAGTTAAATAAGGGATTTGTCTGGTATTCAGATAGAGGTGCCATTCCCATATCTTATCATGTAATACTTCAAATCAAACACACAACTTAGTCATGCATGATCAGAAAGTGGATGTGATACAAGGAAGAGTGAAGAACTTTGCAGAGAGATATAAAGTCTTCACCTGTGACGTTAGAGAACTGTTCATAATGTTAAAGTGTACACAGTGTATTAAACGCTTCTGTTAATATATTGTTGTTACTACTACTACTACTACTACTACTACTACTACTACTACTACTACTACTACTACTACTACTACTACTACTACTACTACTACTACTACTACTACTACTACTACTACTACTACTACTACTACTACTACTACTACTACTACTACTACTACTACTACTACTACTACTACTACTACTACTACTACTACTACTACTACTACTACTACTACTACTACTACTACTACTACTACTACTACTACTACTACTACTACTACTACTACTACTACTACTACTACTACTACTACTACTACTACTACTACTACTACTACTACTACTACTACTACTACTACTACTACTACTACTACTACTACTACTACTACTACTACTACTACTACTACTACTACTACTACTACTACTACTACTACTACTACTACTACTACTACTACTACTACTACTACTACTACTACTACTACTACTACTACTACTACTACTACTACTACTACTACTACTACTACTACTACTACTACTACTACTACTACTACTACTACTACTACTACTACTACTACTACTACTACTACTACTACTACTACTACTACTACTACTACTACTACTACTACTACTACTACTACTACTACTACTACTACTACTACTACTACTACTACTACTACTACTACTACTACTACTACTACTACTACTACTACTACTACTACTACTACTACTACTACTACTACTACTACTACTACTACTACTACTACTACTACTACTACTACTACTACTACTACTACTACTACTACTACTACTACTACTACTACTACTACTACTACTACTACTACTACTACTACTACTACTACTACTACTACTACTACTACTACTACTACTACTACTACTACTACTACTACTACTACTACTACTACTACTACTACTACTACTACTACTACTACTACTGTTACTACTACTATATTAGTGTGACTCCAAAGGTAAGATGCTAGTATGTAAGTGTAAATATAAAAGCATTATATATTAATAAAAGCTCTAGTATATCAGAAGGAAAATGAACGCATAAAAGTCAAACACTGGCAATTGTGTCTTTATGCTGTCCTTACATAGAAGTTTTTGTTGTTGGTAGTTATGGTTACAGTTATCAGAGGGCAATGAGAGGTATCTATGCTTCAGTTGGCATTGCAGTTTTGACCTTTGCCAAAAACGAATTTCCATTGCTGATAGGGTGCGTAATCAGTGAAATTTGATTTTGTGGATAAGAGTAGATTAATGGAGGGGTTATGTCTAGAAACTATAGCTAGAAATGGGAATTATTTTGAAGGTTCTGCCCATTTGTTGTATTTGAGATCATTCAGAGTAATGTGTGGCTATGTATTTGTTACAAGGGAAGATTACAACAGGTACAAGGTGGGAATTTCAAAATAGCAGCTATTAATTAAATTTATAAAGTGTTCTGTCAGTGCTTGTTTTGTGTCTGAGGGTTAGATCACTCCACCGTTGACTGTTATAGCTGATTAGGTTGCATTGAAAGAAATGTCTCGCCATTGTTTTGTGTCTTACTTCACAATATCCCTTATGATGCTGTTTGCAGTTAAAAGAGAGAGGTTAAGCATTTTTCATGAAGTTCATTTTTACGAGCAACCTTTTCAAAAAACACCTTGTCTAGATATTAGTACACTATATAGGGTATACTGTTGTTCTGTCACGTTACTGTGATATAAATGTACCCACATAATACTTGTAGCAATATACCAACTAAATGGAAATATTTAAAGGAAAGTGGGTGTCTCATGTCCTTGTTATGCACTGAAAACATTTTTTCAGAGAACTACAAACAAGTTGAGGTTAATTCTAGAACAAAGCATTTGATAAGAAGAAAAACAAAGCTGCTATAAAAATGAGTCAAAAGTGAGTAGTTTTAAGTAGTTAAATTCACACTGATGAAACAGTTCAGTGGATGAGTGTTTATAGAAGTTTGTGTATGGTTAAGTTTTATGGACTTCATTTTTATTTCTAGTTGAACATGAGCACACCAGAGCATCGCCGTGCACGTTCCCTTGACTTGGGAGATTCTGTGGGATGGATGGAAACTTGTCAACAAAGCAGACAACAGTTGTTTGAGAACACAGCCAAGTTTAATCATACCCAGCCACTGCCTCCTCTCCAAAAACCACAAAGAGTACAATCTTTATTTGTCTCTCATAATGCTAACAAGGATGCTGATAGTATACTAATTTCTACTACAAAATGTATCCCTCCAGCTGATGAAATTGATGCTGCTGATACATCATCATCTACCACAAAAAGAACTTCATCTGCTTTTGCAAGTGATAAATTTCATGTTGCAAATGCATCACCTCTCACCAATCAGAATTCTCGTCCTACTACACCAATCAGTAAGCTCATTCAACGATTCACATCTGAAATGCTGAATTATGAAATACCCAGTCCAAAACTTCAGTCCCAGTCATTTGTAAAGGAATCATTAAAATTTAAACCAACTGATGATACTTCATGGACATCCACAGCAGCCTCATCTACAGTTTTCCCATCAGTGTTCCAATCAAATGCAATCATGCATGATGCTGCAAAACTAGCAGCCACTACTGTACCATTTAAAACCCCAAATGTAGTGCAACCAACGAGTTCTGTGCAACAATCAAAGACAGAATGTAATGACATTACATTACGCCGTCCATCTTTCTTCTGGGGGCGTACAAATTCTGCTGAGCCCATGTTACAATGTTCACTAATTACACAAACAGGCATATCTAATAGGACTGTTTCATTACACATGCCACAAACATTCAGGCCACCTGAATGGGCGAAGTTACCAGCGACTGGTGTCGATCAAACAGATGCAGGATCATCATGGATTCAAATCTCATCAAGTACAAATGTGAAAACAGCTGGGTGCTCCTCACAGCCCACTTCTGTTGCTCAGCAGCATCTGACAAGAGCGTCCTCATTCCATTCTTATCCTGTGACAGAGAGAAGCCTGTCCTGTGTATATCCCACTTCATCTGAAAGCACTGGGCAGCCCATTCAACCAAATAAAGCACCAGACATAACATCACCATACAAAACAACTAATTCAAGAATTTTTGTTTCCAAATGGGATAGTCCAAACAAACCTGAGGACAGTAATTCAAATTTCCACAGATGCAGTCAGGTCGTTCGACGTTGCAGCACTAGTTCATTGACATCTTTCCCACGTCAATCAAAAATGCGATCTATACCTGTTAAATCACTTGTGAAAAAGTTCTCAGCGACTAGTGTCGATCAAACAGATGCAGGATCTACGTGGATTCAAATCTCATCAAGTTCAAATGTGAAAACAGCCGGATGCTCCTCACAGCCCACTTCTGTTGCTCAGCAGCATCTGAAAAGAGCGTCCTCATTCCATTCTTATCCTGTGACAGAGAGAAGCCTGTCCTGTGTATATCCCACTTCATCTGAAAGCACTGGGCAGCCCATTCAACCAAATAAAGCACCAGACATAACATCACCATACAAAACAACTAATTCAAGAATTTTTGTTTCCAAATGGGATAGTCCAAACAAACCTGAGGACAGTAATTCAAATTTCCACAGATGCAGTCAGGTCGTTCGACGTTGCAGCACTAGTTCATTGACATCTTTCCCACGTCGATCAAAAATGCCATCTATACCTGTTAAATCACTTGTGAAGAAGTTCTCAGCAAATAACTGACATTGGTTTTGTACTTATTTTTGTAGTGCTGAACATTAGTAAACACAGTTTATATAGTGCCAATATAGCATCTCTCAAACTGTGTTTTAGGCTGCCCTTGGAATGAAACTTCTGGTGAGCTTGTGTTTATAAAATTTCATATGTACTTGTATTGGTAAGGTATTGGATTGATATAGAAGTTGAAATGATCTTGTGCATTTAGCAGGTCTAGGAAACACGATCCTCTTTAATGTAGGAAAACCATGAAAAGTATCAGCTGAACTCAGGAATCTGTAGAATAAGTCAGTGGATGTGAGTATGCTTTGCTCTGCAAGTAAATGTTTAGGAGAAAGCAAGATTTGTTGCACACTCAAGGCTGTTATAGGTAGTTGTGGGCATATATTGCATTCAGCTTATCCACAAGAAAACAATTACCATGACCATAATATAGGAGTCACAGCTTTTATTTGTGCTGATATTTTAGTGCCTGGTGACATGTATAGATATGTCTGGTGTGGCTCCCAAGAAGTAGTCTTAGCAAAACTATAATATTCATCATTCTTAGAACAAAATCTTACAGCTGACAGTATGGGTATGTAAAGGGAAAGAGTCTGTTTCTTCAAAACGAAACACATTGGCAGTGATTGATATACTTGATATACTTAGGCTGACTGTAATAACAAAAGCATTAGTCATGATTGCAGTACATCCAAGTTTGTCTAATGAAACAAATAAGGTCAGTGAAAATAATGCTGTATGGTGGTACTGCGTATCATCTGCTGTGATTCAACTGGCAGTAAGGAAGAGTAATATTAATTTCAGTCTGCCCAGTGTTTTATCTTTCACATATGTTATGTTTACAGATGCTAGGGACTTGTATGATCCTATGTCACGTGAAACAACTTGCTGCATTACAGCAAACAATATATAAAAGTCTCTACATGCATACATTACTGGCTTCTGCATCATATTAGTATTAATGTTAATGATATTTCGTCATATCAATTAGAAATTACTTACAATTTTGAATAATTTATGTAGAATTATGAAAAACTTCTCCTAACATTGGACACTCCTAAAGGTTGCCAGTTGAGGCTGAAATATGTTGGGCTACATAATTTATTAAATAAGGGATACTACCTGATACCTTGCTGGCATTCATTCCAATTCAAATGAGAAAAATCCGAAAATATTTTCCATAGTTAAATTCCTTTTGGGAAAATGTCGCGAGTCCTCTAATGATAATGGACAAGAGATAATGGACAAGAATCTCTGTAATATCAGTAGCACACATGAACAAAATAGATATAGCGGTGATTGTGTAGGATTATCTTCTGGAATAAAATGCTCTCTAATCCTTTGAACAAAGTAGATACGAGTACAGTAGTGAGTGTATAGGATTATCTTCTGGAATAAAATGTTCTCTATTTTTTTTTTTTTTTTTTGTAATTACATTTCATAGATCCAGTTGTTATCCAGTAGGGCTGGATATAAAATTTGTTACATACAAAGTCTTACATAAAAGATCATATGCAATAAATATAAATATACAGTATTAAATATAACATAAAATTTAAGATATAATATATTAAAAAATATATAAGGTAATTAGAGCCTCATGCAAAGAACACTAGTTGTCAGTCCAATTTTCCCGTTTAGAAAAATACATACATGTTAAGTCCATTCTCAGCCTTAACTGACTAGAATTGTCAAGTGTTAAATTAATCAGTACAGCCACTATTAAATCCAACCAAAGGGAGTAACTTACAATATGTTTACTCATACTATTTATTTACCCTCTATCTTTGTAACTCTTGTATGCTCTATAAATTCATCGATAAGAGTAAAATGAATTTTTCAGCAGATATCTTAGTAAAGCCTTCTTAAATTGATTTTTGTCTGTTCTCAAAATTGTGATACTGTTAGGTAATATATTAAATAGCTTGATACCTGAGTAATATACACCTCTCTGATAAGATGATAAACAAGAATCAGGTACATGAAGATGATAATTATTCCTAGTACCAATCGTATATATAGAGTTATTTTTCAAAAACTTATTGTAGTTGTTCACAACATATGTCATAAGTGAAAGCAACTATAGACAGGGAATTGGCAATATTTCAAGCTTTTTAAACAGGTCACGACAAGTGTGGGTTGGGCCCACTCCCATCATTATTATTGTTTTCTTTTGCATAAGAAAAACCTTATGACAATCAGGAGTATTACCCCAGTATATTATTCCATATTTCACTAAAGAGAGATAATATGCATAGTATACAGATTTTCAGCTATTTATGCTTAGTACATACGATAATTTTCGCGTTAAAAATCCAACTGTGCTCAACTTGTGGAGTAACTGATATATATGTGCTTTGCAAGTCAGATGATTATCAAGCTGCAAACCCAAAAAAGTTGTCGATTCAGCTGTTTTCAACATTGTATTAATAAGTGAAGTATTTAGCTGATAATCAGTAGCTACTGTTGGCATAAATTTTAGCATTTTAGTTTTGTCAAGATTTAATGCAAGAAGACTGGCCTGAAACCATCTACTCATGTGACTGCAAACAATATCCAGTTTTATTTTTAGATTGTTGAAATCTTTGGATGTACAAAGGACGTATGCGTCATCTGCAAACATGATGACTTCTGAAGTTTTACTTATTTTGAGGGGAAAATCATTGATGTAAATATTAAATGGCAGAGGTCCTAGTACCGAGCCCTGAGGCACTCCCGAACAGCCTAGGTCCCAGTCGGAGTAATATTTGTTATTAGTACACTTTAGTTCAGCCCTTTATTTTCTATATTGAAAGTATGATTTAAACCGTTGCAAGAAGGAGCCCTGAACTCTATAATATTGGAGTTTCATTAACAGGAGTTTGTGATCAACACATTCGAATGCCTTGGCTATATCACAGAACATGCCAACTGCATATTCTTTTCTGTTCAAAGTAGTAACTATCTTATTAGTTGCTTTATAAATAGCCTCTTCAGTAGACAGTCCCTTTTGGAATCAAAACTGCTGGGGGAGTAATATTTTGTGTGTTATAGAAGGCTGAAAGATCATATTACAAGTTACCATTTCAAATATTTTGGCAAACCCAGTTATTATTGATTCATTCATTCATCAGTAATCTGTCAAGATCACAGGTCCACAGTTTCTTCCAAAAGAGTTCCTCCACTTGAGGAGATCTAAAGCTTTCTCCTTCAAATGAAAATACCCTCTTCTGTCCCCAAGGTCATCCAGCATCTTCTTACGTCTTCTGGTCACTTCTACCCGCCCCTCTATCTTTCCTTCAATAACTTCTTTTAGAAGGCAGTTAGCACGTAAGATATGACCAATCCAATTATTTATATTGGTCTATAATTATGTATAATAGTTTTGTCTCCTCTTTTATGTATCGGATTAATCACTGCATATTTGAGTCTTTCAGGATATACGCCCATTGTTACTGAGTTATTAATTATATATGCCTGTACTAAGAGTTTACTTATTTGTTGTCTACAGAGTTTTATTAATTTCTTAGTTATACCATCATATCCTGAAGATTTTTTGGATTTGAGCTTACTAGTCGCACTAATTATCTCTACAGTGACTAAATTAAAGTTCAAAGCAGGGCAACCATTTGGGCAATAAGTACACAAATATTTCATTTGTAGCAGAAGCTATCTTTCATTGGATTGCAATGGATTACACAGCATGACCATCCTAGAAGACAGAATTCTTGAACGTCAAAACAGTCAAAACTGACCTTTGACGGGCTACACAATGTTATTTCCTAGTAGACAGAACTTGCGGCAGTCAAATTTGTGATCGAAACTGAGAAAAAATGTGCTACGACAAAATATTACCGAAACCGGTCAGCTCAGTAGATAAAATACGTAACTACTATTCCACTACCCATACACACCATCCGTCACTAGCTGTGACTATCACGGATCACATCACTACTGTTGGCTACACTGCTGAAGGGTGTGAACAAATGACTGATTGTTGTCGTGTAGCTTTTGTTTTGATGTGTAGTATGCTGAGCTATGTTGGAGGGGTTTTTACGCTGATGTATTAGATGTAATTATTATTTATAAGGAACAAAATTCAAATTGTAATGGACTTATTAATGTCATTTATATAATTTAATTTGTTACCCGTTTTACGTGAGTTATAACGGGACGTGACACATGGAAGATGAAGAGTTCCAGCGGTAAAAAAAGTGTTGAAGTAAAGAATAGGGTGACGAATAATTAAGGTATGACATTCGAAGTTTTGTTGTGTCATTTCATTTATTTGTTGATTGATGCGTATTTAGGATGAAATGTAGAGGCGTCGACTGAGCAGAACGGCCACTCCCATATCCCAAATTACCGGATTTACCACGACGGTGATAAAATTAGAGCTAAAATCCAGATTTTTTAACACACCACTGAATTTAGTCGTTTCCTAAACTAGTGACCAGACTTGACTTGAACCATTTAATTGCTGTGTGGTATAAAGAGAATGCAGTTTAAAAATGGCAAAAGTGTGGAAAAGGATATAGGGTATCCTTTCTTTGTGATGATGTTTCTGTACCGTTTTTGGCTTGTCAGATTTTCAGTTTATTAAAATGGAGGAAATTAATGGTAAAAATGTTGTTTAAGTCTCAGGGTCTTTTGATGCTCGTTGGTAGTTTTTATATCTTCTAAGCAGGCTAAGAAAGCAATTAGTCTGTTTGTTCTTTAAAATCCTACAGTATCAGGTAATTCATTCACTCTTAGTCAGAGTCAGAGTTACTTTACAACTGAAGTTTACAGTTCATCAGTTCGTCTTGAATTCAAACCCTTTGAGACTCATGATCAGAGTTTTTTTTAACTGAATCCTTGTAGTCATAGTCCTTACATGACATCCTCTCTGACAAGATGATAGGTCTGTAATTTTCAATTGCTGCTGGCCCTCGCAAGCACAGTCATTCTTGGGTCCGAGTCCTGCTGGACTCATGACCATATGTTACTGTCCCAGATTTTAGGCTCCTCCAACCTGGAGGGCGAGGTTCCCATATTTATATCCCCCAGGAACGTGGTGGCCTAGTTATACCTCCAGGCAGTGTGTTCCCATTTCATCGCCTTGCAGGGCTACGGTGTTAGTATTCAAACCCGCCTCCACGTGGGTATAATTCATTCAGTTCACAATCTCAGAACCATTTATTTCAGACATCCAGTCTCTTGTTTTCCAAGTTAAAACCCATCTGTGTATCGTCTTCTAGCTCATAGCTCAGTGTACGAGGGGAAGTCAATAATTATCCGCAATGCAGTTGTATTTGTGTTTCTGTTGGCAGCGCTGTCGTTTTGCGCAGCATCACCATGTGTGGTTTCCTTGTCATTATTTCTGCGCAGGTTTGATGTTGCTAGGTCAGTTCCATCGTCGCTGCCTTGCTGTTAATCATGGCTGCTCCGCTTTCTGTTTGCACCAAAGAAGAGCAACGTTCAGTGATCCGGTTTTTGTGGTCGGAAGGTGTATCAGGGGCCGCAGTCCATCAGACTTTCAGCACAATACGGGAACAGTGTTTTGCCGCAACGGAGTGTCTACGAATGGATTGAAAAATTAAAAACGGTCGCACAAGTGTTACGCATGAGGAAGGAGCTGGACGACCATCCACGGCCACAAATGAGGACAACATTGAGTATGCATGTGACATGGTTCTGTTAGACAGACGAGTGACTATTGATGAAGTGGCAAGTTGTCTGCAAATTAGTCATGGTTCTGCCTATGAATTCATCCACAACAGCCTTGGGTTTCATAAAGTCTGTGCAAGATGGGACCCAAAACAACTCACAGTGTTGCATAAACAGATGCGCTTGGACATCTGCCAACAACATTTGGATCGCTATGGTAACGAATCTTAGACAGAATCATCACTGGTGACGAAACATGGATCCATCATTGCGGGCCGGAGAGTAAACGGCAGAGTATGGAATGGAAACATCCACAATCGCCCAGCAAGAAAAAGTTCAAAAGCCAACCATCCGCAGAAAAACTGATGTTTACAGTTTTTGGGACTCACAAGGCCCGTACTGGAACATTATCAGGAGAGAAGTACAACAGTAAACAGTGCTCGTTACAGTGAGATGCTTACTGACAGGCAGAAGCCTGCAATTCGAAGCAAACGCCGAGGACTACTGTTGAAAGGTGTTGTGTTGTTGCACGACAATGCCCGTCCACATACTGCTGCCCACATTGCTGAAACCTTCCAGAAACTCAAGTTTGATGTAATGGCTCATCTTCTGTATAGTCCTGATTTCGCCCCTTCTGACTACCACTTGTTTGGTCCACTCAAAGGGGCATTAAGGGGCCGTAGATTCACCTCGGACCAAGAAGTGAAGGAAGCGGTGCATGCGTGGCTTGCTGCTCAGCCGAAAACCTTCTTTTCTGAGGGCATCAGGAAGCATGTGCAATGATGGACCAAGTGCGTTGAAAAGCAAGGGGACTATGATGAAAAATGATTTTAATCATTTCTTGCATCCTGTTGTGTGTTTAATTAATAGTAGAGTGAATTTACCGACTACACAGCACGTTTTTTATTATCACTACATGTTTCGACCTCAAGAGGTCATCCTCAGGTGTATGAACACAGCTGTGATGGGTACCTATCACGACAACGATCATAACAGATCCAGCGGCATCAGAGAATGCGGAAGAACAGCGAGACCTCACAAACAAGTGAAAGTGCAACCAATAACATAAGTTGAACTTTAATTCACGAACTTTTAACCAATAATAATAATAATAATAATAATAATNCATTAGAATGATTATTGCCAAAAATTTTTCATTTCTGCTGAAGTGATATCCACCCACTTCAACACCTTATAGGTACTGTCGTACACCTCACGGTGTTGGAGATAGTATCTGTTGGTCCCCTGACACAACATGTCAAAGAAACTATCTCCAAAAAACAGTTCAGCTCCTTCAGACACTTGCGTAGGGTCCGATGGCATTTGTCTCACCCCTGGATCACCAGTAAACTTTCCCAAAGTGGGTGTTTTGTCCACTTTACCCCATGTGGCTGTCCCCGCAATGCTAGCACTCGCAATTTCATCGGAGCACTGTCACTTTCACTTTCTCTTCTGGTCACAATATTTTGGGGGCCCCTGTCACTGCCACTGACACTGCCCTCGCTATCAGAAGACGAAGCAGTTGGCAAGTCAGATAACTCATCGGAGATCAAATCACAGATTTCTTCTTCTCCGAGAGCTTGCGCGGCCTTCATCTGCTTTCGTCTCTGAGCCATGTTGACACTGAGAATATCTTGCCTCACACATAGAAGCTTCGACTTGAACAAAGGGACTTTTCTTTAGAGTGAGAGGGGAATAGAGATGGTCACGTTGCTGACTCAGAAAACAAATATTCCGAAGGTCAGCTACGCAGTACTTTTACAGACACGTGGCCACCAAAGCGAGGAACAGTGTGTTGCAAGATAACGCGTCCTAAAAGCCTAAATCTAGGTGACCGGTCTGCCACGTTTAAAACCCAAATGCCTAGACCTAGGCGTCCGGTCTGCAAAGTGTTAAACTAGTCAAAAAAGAACTAGACACAGTTGTGAGCATAAGTAAAATGAGACTGTAAACTACAAGTGAAAGTGTAACCAGCGACATGAATTGAACTTCGATTCACGAACTTTTAACTCTTAACAATTAAATTAGAATAATAATTTTAACCTGTGTTTTATAAAAGAACTCAATATATTAGTGAGCGTAAATCTCGATAAGATACAAGGTCGAATGAGTGAAAAGTGAATGTGACCACATGTAATTATGCAGCCGTGTTCATACACCTGAGGATGACCTCTTGAGGTTGAAACATGTAGTGATAATAAAAAACGTGTTGTGTAGTCGGTAAATTCACTCTACTATTGAAAAATGATGTTAATGTAAGTTTTCTATTTGTATTGAAATAAAATTTGTAGCTACATTGCGGATAATTATTGACTTACCTATGTAATTATCCTAACAGTATGAAATTACACATGTAATACCTTGTATAATCCTTTTAATCTGTTATAAAGAAATGAAATTAAAGAATATTGTGAACTTATGTTGGGGAATTAATAATATATAGTTTTACAGATCAGTTTTTAAGGGCTGTCCAAATACTGTAGTTATGTCCCACAGATTTCTGCAGGTCAGTGTAACAAGGCATTAAAATAAGGCACATTCCCTGACTTACATGCATAGCAGTCCTATATTATGAATTACACCTTGCTTGTCATGAATAATGTTATGAAATATGTTAATGAATATTTTCATCGATTCCTGTTTAAGGCATAATGGAGGTACAGGAGAAACCAAGTTTTTTTCCTCCAAAAAAGAGAACTTCTGGAAAGCGGTTTGCTTCAAATAGCCACTTTGACCATGTCACAGTTCAGGTTAGATCTGTGTATATGTACTTGTACTCTCTGGGTGCTATTTTATGTTTTGTTTAACATTTAAATATGTTATGAATGTCTGTAGCACATGGTACAAGCCTGTAACTGCATGAACACTAATGAAAATTTTAATGGAATTTTGCCATGATTCAAGGTGTATGGTAATGCAGGGTCCAGAAGCCTTAGATATTGACAGTGACAAAGTTTGGTATTATTTGCCGTTAAAATATGGCAAACATATTCAGGAAACTGGGCATAGATACAGTAATTTTAATGGCATATTTGGTTTTATGAATAGCAATGAAAGGCAGTTACTTAAATATATTAGAAAGAAGTCATATGTGTATATATATATTTGATAAGATATGTACATGACTGAAGCATATGCTTGATCTACTTAGTTCTAGTTGGGCCACGCCATAGCTCAAGTGGTTAGTTGCTGGCTTCCCACCGTGGCAGCCCGGGTTCGATCCCAGGTCTGGTCAAGTGGGATTTGTGGTGGACAATGTGGAGCTGGGGCGGGATTTCTCTGAGTACTTCGGTTTCCCCTGCCAATCTTCACTCCACCAAATTCTCCATCATCATAATCACCCTGGGGCAGGTACAATAGGCCAATCAGTGGCTGCCATGCCGAGTGGACCCAGCCGGACTTCACCCCCCACTAAGCGAACTTAAAAAAAAAAACTTACGTAGTTCTATGTATGAAGCCCTCTATAATGGTCAGCAGCACCAAGCAGCACACACTCACCACAACACTCCCATACAGTATGCAGTACCCCAGCCAGTACTAAGACAAAATTACCTCATACCATAATACAGACAAGTGACTTAGAAGTAAAACAGTATAATAATATGGAAAAGTTATTCCTAGTGTTCTGTAGATAAACTGAATTAAGCTCCCAGAAATGAGTATGCAAGTAGCAAAATGCACTTTTTAGATCTGCATGTTTGAAGCGTATGACCAGGCTTGTGTTGAAGCACCTCTTACCTCATTTTCTTTTAAATCCTTTGACCTTCAGTTTCTGCTATATCACAAATTAAACACTGATTATCTGCAGTTTTCCCAAACTAGTGTTTATTTCTACATGTAACCACCCTTCTGCATTGCTTTCATTTCTGTGTTTTGTTAAGATTAATCTGAATTCATGCATGTAAAATCTGGATCTGTGATATAACATGCAAGTTTGTCAGAGTTTTGGAATGAATCATAGCATAAAATTTGATTCTGAGCTGGAGTAACAAGTTACTATAGTGGTAAATAATTTAAAGCAACAGTTTATGGAAGTTTTAGTGTGTACTATTATTTATCTCAATTATTTTCTGTTTTATGTTTTTACAAGAAGACCAAGACACAGAGTCTGACAGAAAACTGTTTGTCTTCCAAAACAAACAATATTAATGACAGTAGAACAATGGATGTTTGTGTGACTACGGAGAAAATTGCACCAGAGGAATATGGAAGCTGTGGAGAGACAGATGTTCTTAGTACTCCAATCGGCTGTGACTTAAATGGTAAGGAGCTATCAGAATCCTCACCTGTGATTGAAAATGGACATGTGGCAGGTATTCTTAGTTCATCATCAGCAATGGCACTGCATCAGCCAGAGCAAGGAAGCACAAACACCAGTGTAAGTCACAGTGAGCAGAGCCTTAATATGGACCTCTTTCATGATACAGTGGAAACTAAGAAGGCAAAAGCCAAGAAGAAAGTGAATATTTGCACTGATCGTGAAGATGGTGAGGAAGAAGATACTTCAAGTAATATTGAAACAGTGGCACTTAGACGAGGTTCAGAAACCTCTGATTCAGTGGCTGATCACTCTGGAGTGAGTGGAAGTACTGATGGCTGTCTCACCATGACAGGAACCATTAAACGTGGGAAGAAAGCAGGCCAAAGTGTGGATGTGCGGCTGAATATGTCTCGTGAAGAACTGGAGGTGCTGGAAGCTGTTCTTGCTGCCAAACGCCGTAATTCAGCTTCACCTAGTTCTTGGCTCACTTGTGGTCCAAAGAATGGGCCACATGTAATGATCTGGACAGCATTGTGTTTCCCATTTGCAGTTGTGATATCTGGAGTCTACTCCTTCTATATGGGGACAATCACATGGTACAATGTTTTTACATATTATACTGAAGAAAAGCCCATTTTGTGCAGAATCCTAGTTTCCCCATTCCTTATTCTTCTTTATCCCTTTCTTATTATAATCTTCACTATAGGTCTTGGTCTTTATGCTGGAATAGTGCAGATGTCTTGGTATTTAGACAGTTGGTACAAAGAGATTACTGATTTAGAGAAGGGATTTTATGGTTGGTTATGTGCCACACTGAAACATGAAGATTGTTCCCCATATGAAGTAGTTGTACTGACAGAGATTCAGAGTTCAGTGGAAGGAGGTCGACCAGTGAGATCATCTTCTGAGGATTCCACTACATAATAACTGACTTTCTTTTGCACATTATGCAATATGGAATGATAGATTTTTTAATGTCTACAATTCATATTGCACATGCATACACATAAAGAGCTTCATTTGTGTTTCCATAAGTGATGTATGTCTTACATGTATGTAAAGAACTTATCAGTATACATGTCATCTTTCACCTTCCTTTTTTGTAATTCCAATGAGTTCATTGAATTTTTTCAATTTACCAAATCCTTCTGGCCACACACTGGCCCTGGGGTTGACTCAACCTCTAACAGAAATGAATACCATGAATCTTCCTGGGGGGTTAAAGTGGTGGAACGTGAAGCTCTGGGACCCATTCAGCCTCCTGTCCAGTGGGTACCAGGGACTCTTTCCCCAGGGGTAAAGTGGTGGGGCATGAAGCTGATAACTCACCATCACCTAGTGCCAAAGTCAAGAATGGTGGAGCTATACCACCATTTCCTCATATATCCTCATGGCATGGTGTGTAATTAATAAAGCACAGAGACAACTTTACACTTTTACCTTTAACCCATTCATTGGTAAATAATTTACAGCTTGCTCCTTCAAGGATATCTATTAGAATTAAGTTCTAATTATGTGTGTGTGTGTGTCCTATAATTGAAGGGAAGTCGGTGTTATTCATTGTTTCCTTTTTAAGAAATCCATATTGATTATTTAAATATTTTAAACATTCATGCTGCCTTTCATACACAATATTCTTACCTCAACAATGCAGCTACTGCTAGTCGTCATAGGTGCATTGTTGATGGAATTATGTATGAAAGATATATTAATGCAACAAGATGCTTAAATACAATATATTCATACTGCCAATAATTAAACAACTACTATGCACCACCTCTCAAGGTAACTTGTTATGTATATCATGGCATGTTATTTAAATGTGTATTCATATTCACAACATTCCAGACATTTTTAGCTGTGTGTGTAATTGTACATTATAGTGTTTTGTCACAGATATACTGCCACTTGTCTAAATACTATAGGAGCTTGTCAGATACATCTTTAACAAGTATATTATTCTTCTGACTAGTAATAATAATAGAAGTTTTGACATGTATAGCTGTACAGTTAATACATTAACAGTATTAGTGTCATTCCACATATTCTGAGATAGTTTAAGTAAAAAGTACACAGGCATTTCAGAAACTGTATTTACAAGTTTGTTTGCTTATTAAAATAATAATGCTTCATACAGTATAAAATGTTGGGAAGGTAGAATGAATTAAGAGGTCCTCTAAGGAATGTAATATAACATACTGTAAAATTGCAAAATTATGATCCTGGGGCCTGTACAGACAAAAGTAGAATGGAAGGAATGGTATGTCCATTCTAATTATGTTTTTGGCAGAAAGTTAAATTGACCCACTGTGTTCCGATAACGAGCCCGACTCTCTGACCTTTTTCAGCTTTTGACCATTTAAGTACAGGTGATTCCAAGGCCCATATGCTCTTAGACTTTTAAAGCAGTACACTAGTGTTGATTGTTCCAAATTGTTATACAGCCATTATAACAAAATTTTGATATAAATCTTTACCAGCAGTAGTTCATGTTTCATTCAGTGCTGTGGAACACAATTGTACTGTTACTGATGGCCTATTTTAATATACTGTACAATATCAGCATTTTCCATAAGGGAATGATAAATAGTACAAAGACCATAATACCACCTTTTGCATATATAATGGAGACACTGTTTAGATTGGGGGAGTGAAGCAGTTTATTTCAGTAGTTATTCTTGTCTTCCCTTCATTTTATATTGAAGTAATTTTTATGTTGTTAAGAACAGATCATCTTTCTCTACACATTAAGTAATCTTTCTTCAGAGGACTAAAATGTCAAACCTGTAATATACATATGCCAGTTAGAGTTTTGTATTCATAAATTTACCATCAATCAGATCACATGAGAACACACTGACTTGGAAATCAGAACACAGCTATGAAGAGTATGGTCTTCTGGATTGGAACTACGCGGAGCATTCCGTATATTACATTACATTATTTATTATACTGCAATTGGGTTTTAGCCCGGTGGCAGTAGTACACAATAGGACACAACAGACAAGTAACACACATTACACTAAGTGACAACACGTTCAAACAAAACACAATACACAAAACACAACAATAAGGACATCCTACCACAGTGAATACAAACCAAATACGATTAACAGCTACAACAATTACAGAGAAATACAAACAACTGCAACAAATACAACAACAAGGACATCCTACCACAATGAATACAAACCAAATACGATTAACAACTACAACAATTACAGAGAAATACAAACAACTGCAACAAATACAACAACAATTACAATGCCTCCTATTTTTTTAATGAAAACTACAACAGATACAGAAAGCATAATAATGCAGTTAAATAGAGCAAGATTTCAGCTACTTACAGTTATTTTTCCACATAATCACCACCATTTGTTATACACTCTTGCCAGTGATGAACAAGAGCCTGTATGCCGTGTCTGTAAAAGTTTGCGCCAGCAGAGGCTAGCCACTCTCTTTCTTACAGCTGCAATAACAGCATCGTTGTCTGGAAAATGTTGCCCATGTAGTCCATGTTTCATAGGCCCAAAGAGATGGAAGTCTGAAGGTGCTAAATCAGGGCTATAAGTAGGATGTGGTAGGACAGTCCAGCCAAATTTTGCAATGTGCGTGGTGGTCGCCAAACTGGTATGGGGTCTAGCGTTATCGTGTTGCAAGCAAAAGGTTGTCTGCTTCTCTGGCCTGACTTGGGAAATGTGGGCTTTCAGCTTAGTCAGTGTCGTCTTGTAGCGTTCAGAATTGACAGTCTCACCAGGCTCCAGGAAATCCAACAAAATCACGCCCCACCTATCCCAAAAGACCATGCACATCACTTTCCCTGCCGATGGCTGTGTCTTGAGCATCTTTTTTCATGGGGAATCCGGATGTTGCCACTTCATGGACTTTCTTTTGGATTCCGGCTCCTAGTGGTGACACCACGTCTCATCTCCGGTGATGATGCTTTCCAGAAACTTGTCACCTTCAGCCTCAAACTGGTGCAACAGGTCCTGACAGGCTTCCATTCAGTGAGTTTTGTGGTCCTGTGTAAGCATCTGTGGGACCCACCTGGAACAAACTTTGCGATAATCCAGCATCCCCAATATCGTTTCCAGTGCATTACAGCCGATATTAAGCCGTGCACACAGTTCCCTGGTTGTTATCTGCCAATCTGTATGGATGAGGCGCTGTTCATTGTGAGGAGTGGCAGCTGAGCAGGGACACCCAGAGCGTGGCTTGTTGTGCACTTCACTTTCACCACTGTTGAAACGCACTACCCACCGCCTCACTGTGCTGACATCCACTGTATCGTCTCCATACACCTTTAGCAAGCGTCGATGGGTGTAATTTGTTTGGCAGTGAGAAATTCAATAACGCATCTCTGTTTCGTACACACTTCTATGTCAGACACCATTTTGGTAGACTGTTCTAGTGTCGCTATCTGTCGCATGACAAGGAAACTAACAGTACATTGGCGGGAAGGTTCAACCTTTACTACAACACCACCAACATCCAGCTCAGACGTTACATATTAACACAAAAAAATAGGGGGCATTATATACGGAACGCCCTTCGTATGTAGTCCAGTAGATTTCCATCTGTATTTGAGAGGCTTACTCATCAACCCTGCAGATGGTGCTGGTATGTTCCTCTGAGATCTTGGACTGTCTCTGTGCTATGTGGCATTACAACCCAGAAGACATATTCTTCCTATTCACAGTCATGAGAACCTCAGATTCAACACAGAACAAAGCTAGTCTTTTGTGTATAATCAGCTCTTCACCATTACCAATTTGTGTATCTTGGATCCCAGTATGGGTTTACATGGTAACATTTTATAATTTGATACCGAATTTCAAATTAAAATGTGTCATACAGGACATCAAGCTGGGTCTTAATTTCTACTGGATGATAACTAATTGTTAGGCATAAAAATTAATTAATAATGTTGAACATTTTTAAACAATCCTATTAACTTTCAAGTTCACAATTTGGGAAGTGGAGTACCTCTGATTTGCATTTCTGGATGTAATGTCACTAATAAAGCAGAAAGTTTGTCCCATTTTTACCATCTAGGAAAGAATATTACAAATTTTGTCACTCAGTTTCATATTCATATTGGGTATGTATAGAGCTGTTGACACATTTTTAGCTATGATTGAGAGCACTGTTAAATCTGAGTTTATGCTTAGTATTTGGTATTGTCTGTCTAAAACAAGTTTTGGGGTACGCTGTAGCTTAAGTAGGCAACCTTGTAAAAGAAAGTCTTTTGTTGAATGAGGTCCCTAGTATGGTAATTTTGGTTCCCATTGTATGTTGAAAATAGAATCTAGTAAGTTTCTAATGATGATGTAATAATGTGTCACTATTTGATGATGACACAAGCTCAAAGATGTTTAGACGCAGTGTAACACATGTGTATTTGAAGGGAGTCATTGGCATGTTTATTCATCAGTCATCTGTTGCCTTTATAAAGCTCAATTAACTGAAGCATTTAAATCTAATATGATATATAGGAAAACTTTGGACTAGAATAGTAAAGGTTAAAGTACCTAGACTTAATAAGAATTTTAATAAAATTAGAAATTAATATAAATTTAAATAATGATTTTATTATTAATATGACTCATTGTTGGCCTTAAATTATATGAAGAAAATTGCTCAGAAATTGGAGATGGCTGATTTTGTGTGTGTGGCACCCCATTTAAGTTGACTGAATGATGGCCCACATAACTTTTATGAGAATATCTTAATGTTAGGACTATGCAAGGAAAGGGAGTGCATTGAAGTTCTGGACATGCTTAGAGAATGGGATTAATTCTGTATAAGAATAAAAACCCTTACTGTTATTAGCCATAAGTTAGAGTTGTCAGCTCAAGAGTACTCACTTCCTGACTTAATACATACATTTCAATATGTGTGCCTGGAAACATTGCTGGAAATTATTCTTCAGAAGTCCTTTCAGTACAGTACAATCTTTAAATTGTTTGTGTCATCAGCTGATTCAAAAGGAATACATTTTCAGGAAGATATTTAGTTTTGGGAACATAAAACATCACAAGGGACCAACGAAGGAGAACACTATGGATGTACTGACACCAGTACTCACTTTTTCTATATCATT